GATGGCGAGTTGGCAGATTCAGAAAGAGAGTCAGGCGAAGAGGATGGGCTTTCTAGGCATCGGAGACTTGTGAAAGAGGCGCAGAGTCTTGAGCATAGATTGTCCCATTTTCCAAAGAACCCGGCATGCCCCACATGCCAAAGGAGCAGGATGTATCGAAAGCGAGTCACGTCGAAGCGCACGGACCCACTCGAGGACCGAGGAATGCTGCCCGAGGTGACACAATTTGGGGAAAGGATCGCCACTGATTTCATCATCGTCAGAAAGCTTAAAGACGGCAAAGAAAATGCAGTCCAAGTAGTGCGCGATGAATATTCAGGGTGGATCAGAGCTTATCCGATTGCAAAAAGGGACACGGATTCGGTTTCGAGAAACCTTCTGTTGTTCTTAGGCCCAGCATATAATGATCGAACAACCGTCATGTGCAAATCCGATCAAGCAGTTGAGATTGTGGCTGCGTGTAAGCGGTTGGGCTTCATACATGAGGGTACGCTTGAAAATCGTTTTCCCCACAATTCACAGCTTGAACGAGACATTCGAACCATTGAAGAGATCGCGAGAGCTACGCACTTAGGTGCTGGTTTCGAGGTCGTTCCGGACTTATGGCCGTTAAGTGTAGACTACGCGGCTACAATGTTATCTGCAAAGCACATTGCTGCTGGCAAAGATCAGACTCGCCACTGCCTCGCAGTTGGCACGGAGTTCACTGGACGTAAGCTTCTGTTGGGACAGCTCGTGCATTATCGTGTTGACCCTACGTTGAGGGATAAGATAGCTCCTTCAACGAATCCGGGTTTGTTCGCTGGGTTTAGATACGATTCGGGCCCAAAGAGCTTTAAAGGGGTGTTGTTTGTTCTGGATTACCAAAAGATCAAGAATCGCACTCCCGGTTATGCACTCCCCATAGCTGTTCCTACTGAGGAGGTTTGGGTTGACGACAAACAGCCACCACAACTTCCTTTGAAGCGTGCTGCCGAAACTGCGTTAGCAAACTTTGATCAGCCAAAGCTAGATGACATTCAACCTTTAGACATACCGTTTGCTGCGATTGATGGCGTGACCACGCCACGGACGCACAATGAGTATATTACCATGGATAGAGTTTTCAAATTCGGTGCCACACCGGGGTGCCGAGGATGCGAATTCGAATCAACCAAACATACGCCGCTTTGTAGGGCTAGATTCAATGCATTGATTCGCGCCGACAGAATTGCCAAAGCTCCTAAGACACCACCTGTAGCGCCTGCTGATCCAGTTGGCTCCCGAGCCACGGAGAATGCAGATCCAGGGGGGTCACTCGAAGAGGCCGCGAGCGCTGAACATGTTGAGCAAGGTGCTGTTGGTAAGATTGTTGATGACATTAATACAAAGTTCCTTGAACGGCACTCTGTGATGAATCACGCGAGGCGCATCGCAACGTTAGCAGAAATGCCAGGCATGAATGTGCTGTTAGAGTATGCTGGCCATGTTGATTCAAAGGTTGCACAAGCCGTCAGCGAAATAGGCGCTAAGTGCATAAAGTTATCCTCTGATGCAGTTGACCCGACAAACAAAGATCATGTTGATCAGGTTTTGGGACAGCTTCAACATCTAAAGGGTTCCGACCTTTGGGTTAACTTATCCTTTGTAGATCGTCACAAAGGCAAGCATAAAGCACATCGCAAAGGAGTCGAAGATTCGCTGCGTCAAACATTGCCACTATTGCAGACCTGCCTTGACAATCACGGAAGAATAGCCGTAGAAGGACCCCAGAAAGCGTTTGCGTGGAATCACAAACTTTGGAAAGATTTTGAGTCAACCAATTGCCTGAAGCGTGTATCCTTCGATGGGTGTATGCTCGGTTTTGAGGGTGACCATTATCCCAAGCATCATCCACTGTGTGTTTCGACCAATAGTCTTAACCTCATACAGTACCTGTCTCAGTACCAGTGCGACGGCAGTCATGCGCATGAGCACTGTGGCCACGCACATCAGGCATGTGAGGATGCAAGTCCGATCAAGTTCGCCAAAGTTGTTGCAGAGGCTCTCTTTCCATCGCATGCATTCAAAAGCGTGCCGCACATGACAGGTGCATATGGTATGGTAACTCAAAACTTGCCACGAAAGGTTTGGATGCAAGACCCGAGGGGCTTACAGGCAGTGCAAAAGGAGGCTGACGGACTCAGGGCCAACAACACCTGGGATGATTCCTCAGCTGTCCTTCTGACTAGCCTTCGGAGTCAAGCGAGAGCCCAGAATCGAAAGATTAAAGTGGCAGAGTTGCTTACCTTGTGTGGTGTTAAGCATATCGAGTTGGAACCACACCAACAAAAGTGGAAAGGTAGAGTCGTGTATCGTGGAGATTATGTAACGGACGCTTCACATAATATTGTCTTGTTTGATGACACAGCGACATCGCCCACAGCGCTTACGTCGCTAAACTTGACGTTTTGGTTTGGGTGTAGAAAAGGTTCAACCCTTACTTTTAGTGATGCGATCCAAGCATTTCTTCAAGCAAAGCTCGAAGAAGACACGTGGGTTATCTTGCCTTACGAACTCTGGACCGCAGAGATGAAGGAGAAGTTTGATCCGAACGCTAAAATCGCCGTAAAGCTGATGCGGAGCCTTTACGGGCATCCACTTGCCGGAAAGTTATGGCAAGAACATCTTGCAGAAAAATTACGGTCGATAGGTGGCGAAGAGGTTCCAGGACATCCTTCTAACTGGTTGTTTTGGTTTCAGGGCGAGCTTTTAGTCTTGAATATTTACGTTGATGATTTGAGTCTTGCCGGGAAGGCAGATCTTCACCAGAGATTCTGGGATCAACTGCGTAAACTGATCAAGATTGAGCCAGAAACCAAGATAGAAGATGGAGCCAGGGTTCTAGGCAGAAACCATACGATTCACCGCAGTCCGAGTCATACAACTGTCACTCTTGACATGCGTGCTTATGCCGAACAGGTAGTTGAGTTGTACTTGGAGTTGTCTGGTTTAGAGCAAAAGAAGTTGCGTAAAGTACCCACGCCTTGTCTCTCAGAAGCTAGTATATCTGACGAGGATCTAGCTGTAGAAGGAGAGCTTAGCGGCGTAGCCGCACGCATTCTTATGAAGATGCTGTGGCTGGCGCGACTATCGAGGCCAGATCTTTACTTCATTACCGGAAGACTTGCAACCAAGGTCACGCGATGGACCCGATGGGAAGATAAGGTTTTGTTTAGGGCAATAAGCTATCTTAACGGCACAGTAGACCTGTGCTTAACAGCCTCTGTATGTCACAATGAGGAACCGAGTCTTCATGTGTACACTGACGCAGATTTTGGTAGCTGTCCCTTCACCAGCAAATCAACATCTGGTATCTTCGTCTGCATTGAGACAGGAGAGTCAAGGTTCCCTGTCTTCTGGTCCTCACGTAAACAATCTTCCGTAGCGCGCTCAACGCCAGAGGCAGAGGCAATCGCCATGAGCACTGCCATGTTTTCAGAAGCGATAAACATTCAGAGTTTCATGCAGTACTTGTTGGGTTATTGTTGCAAGACAACATACCATCAAGATAACGAGACCCTGCTTACGATTCTTGCTAGCGGTTACAGCGCTAAGTTGAGGCATTGTGGTAGAGTACACCGCATCAACATCGCCTCGATGTCGGAGCAAATTAATAACGACTCAGTAGTTGCGACGTACTGCCCTACAAAGGAGCAAATAGCTAACGGCCTTACCAAGGTAATAAATCCCTGTGAATGGCCAGTCATGCTAGTCCAACTAGGTCTTAAACTTGTTCCCAAAGAGGAGAAAGCCCTCATAATCTTAGCAGACACAGTAGCGCGTGCTGAAGCGTTCGCTGGCAGCCTGCCACAGCGCATCAATAAACAGCATCTCGTTCAGCTGCTGTCTTACCTACCGCAAGAGCAATCAGCAAGGGCTGAATCTGCAGAAGGTGTTCATTCCTTCGCATCAGGTGCTTTCGTACACGGTGGCATCGTTGGTGTAAGGAACATGACAAGATTGTTTCCCAAAGCGACTGCTGTCATCACTAGGTTCTTTGGACAACTGATGCCTTCGCACACATTTACCACCGTAATCGTGCAAGAAGGTGTAATGACACCGATGCATAAGGATTCGCACAACGCACCTGACTCTAAGAATCTCCTAGTAAGTTTAACGCCGTGCACAGAACCGCTGCTGTGGGTTGAGGATCCTGAAGGAGACTCCCCATGTCCGGCACCAGGCATTAGGTTACGAGGTTTCTTCTTGAAGAGTCCTGCGAGATTCGATCCAAGGCGTTGGCATTTATCTGTTGCCACCAGCAATCCTAGGTTCACTGCAGTTGCCTTTACAATCAGAGACTCGACCAACATCAGTCCTGATGACGGTCACTTGTTACAAACGCTAGGCTTCAAGCTCAAGTAGCCGTAGACTGTTGCACATATCAGCATTTGTACAGGCTCGTAGAAGCGTTCGTACATGTCCTAAAGGGGGGAGTTGAGAAAACACGTACCCCGGACATGTTTCCTAGTGTAACTACAAGTGTCAGGTTAGGACAGAACGAAGACTCATCAACTGAACATTTGGCTCAAGGAAAACAAGTGCGATTGCTGTACTTGTTGCTGTTCCTTGCTAGAACACTTGTGTCTCTTGTGTTCTTCTAAAGGGACCCCAATTGGGGTTATGATACTTGCAAGTGTATAGTGAAAATAGCTAACTTACTAAGCCCCCCTCCAAGAAGAAAGCCAGGATTTTTCGTGCTCCGGGGTCCAGAATCCGGCTTTCTGGGTTGTCGGGTTTGCAGGCTGCTTGAGTCCTAAGCCTTAAACCCTAAACCCTAAAACCTAAGCGAAACCCGAACTCACAAGCAACACGAAACCTGAGTTCCGCAAGCCGCCGCAGTATTGGGCACCCAGATGAATTACCTCTAGTCTCTGTTGTGGTTCCTCGTTGGGATTACCAGCTAGGATCCTAAATATGCAGTTGGCCAGTCCAAAGACTAGAACTACGATGGAGACTATAGGTATGATTCTGCCGAGGAGGCGGGAAAAAAGGAAAGGGCGAGAAAGGCCGAGGAAAAGGCGGGACGACAGGAAATGTTTCTGATGCCCTAGCTTAGCCCATGTACACACATGGCATACTTCAGCCTCAAAGTAGTCCCATGTAGGTACTTAAGGGACGAAGTATATACTGTACTACATGGACACATGAACCCTTAGGGAAAGGTGTTCAGGATCGTCCGATGCGGGATGCCCATATCATGACGATGTCCAAGCCCGCTAATAAACTTTAGTAAAGGCCTTAGCATTTTCCTTGAAGGTGCATTACTTTATTGCTGAACATCGAACCAGCTTGTGATCGTACTTAGAAGACTTTCAGGCACAGCACAAGCACGTCTAACATATGGATAGGGCTAGCTTGTAACATTCGCCCCTTACTGTCCGTATACAACTATTTGTGGCATCAGATACCCCACAAGCCTTGCTCTAACGATGAACGCCTCCGCATCTTGGGTGTAACAGATAGTAATGTTTGTACGTAATACCTCTAGTTATATATATGCCCGATAATATGACCCTTCATGAAGACCCTCAACCCTAAACTTAGGGGTACTTAGAAATATTTTTAAACTTTGGTTATTATAATCCCTAAGAAACAGCTAAAATTACAATTTTGCTAGCGTTCTAAGTTCAGTATAGTAAACCCTAAACCGTGGGGGGAGTACCCCATGAGACCCTTACCCCCTGCCAAGGAGACTCTGTGGGCACCCAAAACCTGCTTAGCTTTGTACTTGCCCAGATCTTCCACTATCTCCAAGGGTAAAAGGGGGGACCCTTCATAAGGACCCCTAGGTATATACCCTTTATATAGCGATTATATACCCATTATATGGCCCATTATAGGGTAGGGGTCCCCATTAAGGGTCCCTCCTTTTCCCCTTTGACTATCCCTTACTTAACTATTACCTGGACCCGATGAAACGCACCTTTATAACTTATAAGGACTTAACGTTTATGAGAAATCATCATAAGGAGCCCAGTAGGGCAGGTTCTTGTGGGTTCAGGTCAGGTATACCTTAAACCATCGTAGGAGCCCTAATTATAACTGACGGTATAAAGGAACACCGATATGGAAGATTTGTGTCCTTAGGGGTCCAAGAGGTCGTTCAGACAATAGACTGTCGCACCATTTCGGAAGAACCTATTCCATATTCAGGGTCGTATCATAATTAAGAGACTTAGCCCAAAGAAGGGTGCTAGGTTGTAGTCATCATGTATTCTCCCGCATGCGGACCTACATCGCTTCTTTCTCAAAACCAACTACCTACGAGCATATCCGCAGCCTCAAGCCACGAATCTATTTGTTGACTCCTTTAGGCGTTTAGAGCCTTATGAACCGTATAGGGCCTGTACAGCCTTATGCGACCGGAAAGAAAACCAAGCACTGTTAGCACCCCAAGAAACGTTCTGACAAAAAGCACTACACAACCCTGATATCTTGGGCCCTTTCCATTTGCTGCCTGCTCTGCCGCAGGCAAGGGTAAGCGAAAAGGGAAAAAAGGCCGGCAGGGGATTTGACGCGGGTTCAGGGTTTAGGGTTGTGCGTTCAAGGTGTTGGATTTTAGATGTTTTAAGGCTGTAACGGTATAGGTAAGCTTCTAGCTTTCCCTATATTGCTGACGAACGAGAGTGCAGGGGCTGAGAGATAGTGTCTTGGGTTCAGGGCGTAAGTAGGACGCATCCTCTAGTAACAGGTTTACTTTGCTCCTTCCCGTTTGTAGTCTAGGATTTGATCTTGCTTTTCAAGGGGCATCGCAAAGTTTTCAAGCAAGGAAGCAACAGATTGCCCGCTGTGTGCTAGTGAAGGTGGTTCAGCCTGGATTCTGTTTCTATTGCAATGAGGCAGGCTCTCGACGCCCCGCTGCAAAAGGGGACTGCTAAGTCGCTTCATGGATGACCATGGCGGTGCATGAAGCTTTCTCAATGGAGATCGGCACTGGCTCAGATCGCCGACAAGATCGACCTAGCGTAGTTCAACTGCAAGGTATTATATTGGTATTGAAGTATATTGTAGGTATTGTATTATATTTGATTATACTGTTTTTATTTGATGGCATTAAACTATTGAATTCAGGTTTCTATATGACCTTTTTTCTGTTGATTACTTGCAGAAGCTCTTCGAGCAGCCTCCGTCATGGAGTGTAGAAGTTAAACCCCCCGCAAAACGCTACAACTACGGTAACTACGGTTGATGATTAAAACCCTGCAATACAAATAGTCAGAAATATACAATAACTCCCATACTTTATATCACCAAGTGTACAAAACTCTGTAGAATCCGCTAAGAGTCTGCAGAACCCGAAGCTCTGCTTTGAGAAAGACGAGCTCATGCCTTGTGCCTCGCAAGGAGGCTTTCGAGACGATCGGGGTCGCAGTTCGGACCTCATAGTCGGCTTACTAGTGTCTACAGTGAAAACCAGAAAGTTGGAACATGAGTTTAGGATGTTTAGTGCTAGGATTCCCTCTAATTTACCTTAAGGGAATGAGGATAATGATGTTCCAACTTTCTGGCTTCTACTGTATACTGTTTTCGGGGGGGCTCTTTTAAAGGCCCCATAAGGGCTACTATACGGGCGATTATAAGGATTCAGTATAGGGGCCTAAACAACTACCTACGCCGTTTTAGGGGTTCCTTAGGCCCCCAAACCCTATTCTAATTTTTGAGGCCCCTATACTATGTTTGATGGGTTACTGATGTTTTGGGGTTTGGTTGGGTTTTCAGCTTCAAGGGTTTCGCAGCTTGGGTTGTTTCTAGGCGTGGGGTTTATTCATGGGTTTGCTTAGGATTGAAATTCAGATCTTCGAGGAATCTTGTATACTTACAAGGCTTGTGGGTTTTGTAGGGTTTCGTGTGTTTGGGTTTACCAAGGGAGTAAAGGATTCATTCGAGCTTGTAGGATTTGCATGGAGCTCAGGGCTACAGGGGCTCATGTTGGGCTGGGGGTTTCGACCTCCAACTCCGAGCTTTCAAGCTTGCGTCCCACTAGCCACTGAGTGCCGTTGGCAGGGTATAATCGGGACTGAGTAGGTTGCGACAATCAAAGTCGGCAGGATAGTGCGGCTTAAGGGTTCAGGGTTTCGGGTCAGTTTGTGTTCTGATGGCAGTGAGCAAGCCCTTAGATTCTGGTACACCCTGACCTCATTCCAACAAACAGGCCGAGATCTTGGACTCGTCAATCCTGCAGCCTCGCTAGCTTAAGCTGAGCAAAGATCCGTAGACTGAACTACCAGGTGGCAATGTGGCAGCGCAACCTAAAGAAATTCCACAGGCCATGGGCTCATTACAACCACCAGAAGGCACAGATGAAGCCATGGGAAGAGGCGAAGCGGCGATAGGCTCTGACGATGACCTGCGGGAGTGATCCTTGTGTTTCTTTTGCTGGGCTTGGAAGGCAATTGGGATATGAAGTGTCAATCCGTGCCCAAGCAAAGCCAGATAGTGAGCCGTCGCAGTTCGACCACCGCTGGCAATCGTTGAGTTGCGAAGCAGCAGCGCCGTGGAAGACGAAGGCGGCTTGGCCAGTCGTCTTGAAGATTTCTGAAACCAATGCAACGGTGGAAGATGCAGAAAGCCAGGCAGGCCCACCTCTTTGTATCCGGGTCATGACTAGCTTACATAGCTTGTAAACTGCCATACTGGCTGAGGCAGACCACCATGGCCTGCTTTTTGTAGGCTCAGATTTTTCAACCCTAACTATATAGAGTTTATAGGGACCCCATAAATAAGTAGGTTCCGGTAGCTCCAGGTATACACCCAGATGCTCAATCTCATTTGTAACCCTTAAACTCAACCCGGTTCGAGCTTCAGATGCTGCAATCCTCAGCTATGGTGGTGTAGGAGTGGCGTCTCAACCTGAATCCGAAACCGTGCGGCCAAATGAAACCTTAAAGCCATCTATGTAATCTATTCCGGCTTTGAAGACTTGTAAGGACTTCGTACTTGGAGGAGGCCCTAGAGTCCAGCAAAAGCGTGGGGCTAAAGGTTTGCCCTAGTAAATCCCTATGCACTAAGCTAGCTTTTCGTTGAAAGGGGATCCTTCCCTGAGGCTCCAGTTGCCTAAATAATGGGTTACCGAGTTATATATTATTTGATTAGTAGCCTATATAACCTTAAACGCTATACACCCTAAACCTTAGACCCGAAACTTATACTATATGTAAGTCACCGGAGCCTTTTGGGGTACTTTGTTTTGTGGTTTCAGCAGCAAGGTCGCTCTCCGCAGCGGCGGAGTCCCAGTCTGAGACGAAGATGGGCATACCGGGGCTTTAGGGTTAACATTTGGGGTTTTGAAGGTTTAAGGGTACCTTAAGCTTGAACTGGTTTTCACAGGGTTCCACAATGTCTTTGCTGTGGGTTTCATAAAGGTGCTTATACTGGTCCTATACGATTTCGTCTTGGTTTTCAGGTTGACGTCTAAAGTGGGTTTTGGGCTTTTCTCCGGGTTGCAGTCAAGTTGCTCAGTCAAGCTTCCTTTCGAGGTTGTTCAACGTGTTTTTGTGGGTTTTAGTTACGTTTGGAATGTAGGGGAGCTGTCAGGATTCTTAAGGGAAGCTGTAAGGGTTCTATACGATGTTTGTGACCAATGCTCAGTGTGAAGGTACAAGGGGGCGCCTGCTTTATGTCGGGTCTCAAAAAAGTACGTTGTGGCAACTTGAAAACCGACAGGAAGCATTGTATGCAAAGCACTACAACAAGTGCCAAGCCCTTGTTCAACAACATATATGATCTCTGATACCCTTCGATAAATCCTGACAGAAGCCCTTTGACCTTCAATCCCCAGCCCCGAAAAACCACCGCGAACTCTCTGCGTTTGCTCTGCGACTCCGCTTTTGTTCAGTAGGCTGTATGTTGTAGTTCAGCATATTCAGAAGAAGGAACACAAATTCGTATCCCTTTGACGGCCCGCAAGAACCGCCCTGTTCGGGGTTTCAGAGTTTGTGGTTTAGGAAAGTTTGCACCCGAAGCCACCAGTTAGTTTGTGCAGTACTTACACCGAGGAAACATAAACAGCAGGTTCTATGTTCTGACTAAGTTAAGCTACCCAACAGTTACGTAGGATCCGTTGGGTAAATGGGCGGAGCCAGAGATTTCGCTTTGTACAGTTCATCTTCAGGGACTAGGGTTAAGTGTTTGGGAGTTTCCGGGTATGGGATGATTCGAGACGGACCACCTGAACGCCGCAAAGTTAGGCTCTTGCTTAGGGAAAAGGTTTCGTTGCAAGCAACTGTTGTGGAATCCCCTCCCTACGGGGGTACAGTCCGACATAGAATCACAAAAGGACGCCTATGGCTATCCCAAGCCCGCCAGACTGGACACACAACCCTCCGCAACGCGAAGGCAAATCACAATCCCCATACAACCTCACTGTATTACATCCCAAGCCCTTGCAATGCTCCTAGATTCCCAACCCTTCCAACCCAGATCCGAGTTTTGCAAACTGTGAACATGAGGGTTACTGTAGCTGCCAAACCACCTGTCAAACCATGGACACGGCATTCTGGAAGCCGCCTTCCGAGACTTTCACTTCGAAATCCAATACCAAACTTGGAGCTTCGACCTCCATGACCAGATAGCAAACCCATGCAAACCCCTTTGACACACAATAGGTGTGCGAGCCCTTGGAGCCTGAACCCTGATTATGGTACCGTTGTAGAACCTTTGAACCCTTGAACAAAAACTTACAGGACCCGTAAGGGTATCTGGACCCTTGCTTTGCCCTAAATTCTAAACCCTATATACTCACTCTAAGCCCTGTACCCGAGGGTTCGTGCACGGACCCTTGAGGAAACTCAATCTAAGCCCTGAGGTCTTTCGCCACGCCGAAGCCGAGTCCTTTGCTTTAGGGTTCAGGGTTTAGGGTTTTGGGTTGTTTGGGGTTCGCGTGCGTAAGTGTAAGGCCTGGAACTTAGGCCCGAATGTGATGCTGGAAAAGATGTTCTTTTGGTTGGGATGCACCACAGTCCTCAGCTTTACTGTCCTGAAAAGCCCAGTTCTTAAGACCCCAACTCCTGAACATGACCGTGACGCACGGGCTGAACATCGAGAGTCGTATTTGGGGGCGCGATAGAGGGGGAGGGGTGGGGGTGCAGGATCGAAGCGGGCCTTTTCAGTTCGGGGTCCCGTTTGCTCAGTCTTGTCAACAGTCCTATAAACTTCAAGCCCTCAAACTAAAAGCCCTGAAGCTTAAACCCAAAGAAAATTGAACCCAATCGCTCTAGAGCCCCTAATCCTCTGGCAGAAACCGTCGCCACTGCAAAGGCCGAAGTCGCAGCTTCGAGAGCGACCACTCCAGGCTGTTTTTTTGACGGTTTGGGGTGTAGTTTAAGAAGGTGACAGTTTCACTACAGTTTTCCGACTTTCAGAGCTGATTTACTTCAGGTTGTATATAATTGTGGTCTCCAACTACCAACCTTGTGTTCGATGATTTGACGCCCAGGTTGCCTTTAAACGAGCCTGAATGCGTCGCAGGTGTTTGCATGTACTGGTGTGTCGTTCTCGTCCCACGCCCTCATACTACCGAGCTCTAACAAACCTTAAAAGCCGTAAACATTTTAAACCTTAAGCCCTAGCCCTTGCCCGAAAGCCTAAACCCCTACACCCTGCTTTTTAACAGATAATTGGATGGCACTTCCTGGGTTCCTGATGCGGAAGACTGGCACCCACGAAGTCCCAAGCCCGGAACCCCTATGTAAGTTTCTGAGGTTTCGTTTTATAGGTTCTCTGCCCCAGGTTTGGGTTTTGGGGCGTCAGGATTTTAGGGTTTTAGGGTCTAGAGTTTAGGGTTCAGGGTTTTAGGTTTAGGACCTAGGACCTATGAGTTGGGTTGAAGTTTTGATTGTCAGCACAAGTACCCTGCTTCTCAGTTCCGTAGTGCACAGCCGGCCTGCGACAAGGCCAACATGATTAGTCCATGCTACTAATGCAGCCTGCATCTTAACAGCACAAACACTAAGCCTTAAACCTCGTAAGCTTCAAACTACTTTTGCCCCAAACCCGAAACCCCAAAACATTGCAGCCCAAACTAGCAATCCCTGCACCCGAAAGCCTAAACCCTAAACCCCAAAACCAAAACCCTGCATTTGTCATGTAAAACGAAGCACCTTCGATTGCCGGGGTCGCCGGCCGAAGGCACGGCGACGATCTCCGTCAGAGAGAGGAACCAGGTCGATCCTCAGATCTGCTAAACTTAGTAGTGCCTATAGGTTTAGGGGTTTGGTGTTTAGGGGTCTAGGAGATCAGGGGGTTTAGGGTTGAGGGGTCTAGGAGATTAGGGGGTTTAGGGTTTAGGGGTCTAGGAGATTAGGGGGTTTAGGGTTTAGGGGTCTAGGAGTTTAAGGGTTTAGGGTGTGGGTTTAGGGGTCTTAGTGGTTAGGGCTGTCATCAGAACCTACCTACAGTCTCCATTGTACTTCCTTTTTGGTGTTTCCTCGCAGGGCCATCAAATAAATAAGATTGGTTAAACCAAAAAAGGAACTACAATGTAGACTACAGGTAGAGTAGGTAATGTTTAACTTGTTTGGCCTACTATAACCCCTATATAATCCTAAAGGTTAACGCCACTAGTTCCCTTAGGATACTGGACAGGTAAGTGCTAGACCTGAGTATAAGGAATATTCCTGTTCGGGGTCCGAGGTTGCTGTGGAAGTGAATTCTGGTTTGTGGTTGTTTTTCCCGAAACAGTGTGAACAGCACGATGCGGTTGTAACGATAAGATACGCTGTGTGTATGCTTGGGAACATCCGCGAGCCTTTCTCTCATCGTGCATCCGCTCTGCGACCCTATGCAACAAAGAAGCACCACGTGCTTCCAAAGGTTGAAGCACGAAGGCTCCATCGGTTTCAGAGCCGAGGGTCTTCAGCTCTGCACCTCAAGGGTGCCGGAAAAAAAAGCACCCAATACCGGCGTTCGCTGCAGGAAACAAGCCTCATCAGACCCTTGGCTAGCGGTTCGAACTGCATGGGGCAGCGTGGGCATGACAGACAGCAGCAAGTTCACCGGTGCTTGTGCCGCTGCTGTAAGTGAGGTCGAACCTCGACCTCGGAGCTGGGTTCTTGGTCCACAAGAAAGTCTTGTGACGTGCGGATGTTTTTGGCAAGTCCGGAAACCACACCGCCCTGTGGGGCCGTCATGAAGCCCTGAGTCCTGCGCGTAGATCCTATATTGGGAGTTTGCAAATTGGGGTCCTTATAATAAGGATGCTACTTATTAGGTTACTATATCAGGGTCCTCAATTTGGGAAACTCCCAATTATAATCCCTCAAAGCACGGAGCTACAGGTCGAGTTTGGGGTCTCCGATGTCAGTTGCACCCACAGTCTAGAATAATATATGGCCGTAAAATAGTTTCCAATACAATGTTTTTGTTTTTTTTTGTTGGGGGGGTCCTTAGAAGGATAGTATCATGGGCCCCAAAACCCTATTCTAATTGTTAAGACCCCTATAGTAGGGCTGTCTTTTGGGGGATGTTGATCCCAGCTGCTATGAGCCTGTGCGGGAGAGCACGGTACCCCGCGACAAGCACTTAAAGGGTCATGGGACTTAGTAACTGGGGTGAATTATAACTCAAGTAACTGTGCTTATAACTACTTGTAACCCGAATTAAGGTACTTATAACCTTACTTACTAAGTCCCACGATCCTCCAAGCAGGATCTACATGAAATGGATACCACAGAGTCGCGTGGGATTTCGTGTTCGGAGAGGTCGGGGTAAGCTTAGATGTTACTTACACTCTGCATTGTAGTTCCTTTTAACCAACTATTATGTATTTAGGACCCTATAAAAGCTTCCAAGGAAACCCTAAACCCTAAACAATAAATGGTAACCCCAAATCAAAGGGGAAAAAAAGGAGCTACAATGCAGACTATCGGTAGGTTTAGATCTCGGGATGCGAACTGTTGATCCCCGAAGTCGCCGGGTTTAGGCGTTTAGAGTTTAGGGGTTTGGGAGTTTGGGGGTTTAGGGTTTAGGGTTCAGGAGTTTAGGGATTTAGGGTTCAAGGTGTAGGGGTTAGGGGTTTAGGGGTCTAGAGGTTTAGGAGTTTAGGGGTTTAGGGTTTAGGGGTCCAGGGTTTACGGTTTTAGGGGTTTAGGGGTTTTGGGGTTTGGGGTTTTGGGGTTTAGGGATTTAGGGTTTTAGGGGGGTTGGGGTTTAGAGTTCAGGGCCATGCAATGTCTTGGAAGGTGCTGGCGCAGCTGATGTAGAGATGTTCAGGCCTGTGTGGAGCAATTGGCTCTGGTGTTTAAGGTCGGTGGCATAGGCGCAGGTCAGGTTTCAGACTTGAAACCGCTGTGTATATTATTGCACATGTTTCAGTTGCTTGTTTATACATATTTTTGTATATGCTATATACATAGACACATACAATAGATATGTTGGTGTATGTGTCATTGTTTGTGAGAGCAGGTTCAATAGTTCCCTGCAGCTGATGTAAGGATTTACGGTCAACTCATGGGCCGCAAGCCGTTCAAACCTGGAATCGGGAGTCTTGGTCCTCGCATTAGCCATACCGCTGATGGACAACATCCTGCATTACCCATTATAAGGAATATGCCATAGTTCCCATAGTTTAGAGTACTTAGGGTCATGCAGGATTTTGTCCATCAGCAGTAATTAACATACGAGAATCTCAATCCTGAAAATCAACCCAGGAAGCTCATGTCGTTTTTCTTGAGACAACCCCCAAGTACTTCTATCGCAAAGCATTTCTAAAGCATCAGTTCCGCATCCCTTCGCTCTACACAGCATTTCTTGTAAGGGAATATAACTTGCAAGGCAGCTTAACATAAGATACCGCAAAGAGGCCATAGATACATGAATGATTGACTACATGAAACAGGTGCATACCGTATGTGCACATGTGTACATATCTATATATATATATATATACACTGATAATAATATGCACCCAGACAGAGATACCCATATATACGTACGTACATCTAGAAACACACACACGCACACACACACACACATATATATATATATATATATACATATATATATATATACATATACACATACATACATATACACATACATACATATACACACACACTCATAGAACCAGAGTGTGTGTTTGTGTGTCTGCGTACATACATATACATATGTATATATATATATATATACACACACAATATGCACATCGGCTTTTTATCCTTTCACTTCAACTTCCTTCGCGAGAACCCCGAAATCTCAGACTCGTCGACGCCTCCGGAAATTTCCCAGACTGCAAGGGCCAACGCACCGGCCGCTGCAAAAGCCGGACACAAGCCGCCGCCAAAACCTCCAGGCGAACGGCTGACGTTTAGGAAGCACCATGAACTGAAGAGCCCTATAAACTTGTCAGAAGTCTCCAGGTACGTAACCGCAGGTAGTGGGCTCAAAAGGCTTGGGATTCGATCAAGGTTTGGGGTAGTTTAAAATTTAAAACTACACGCAGGCCCAATGTTGGCTATTAGGGATGAATGTTGTTGACTTTGAGGTTAGGTCATCTCTTTACCAAGCTGCTACACGTTTCAGCCCCGAAGCCCTATAAACGATATACTGTACTAAAACCTTAGAGGGTACTACCCAATTAACTTGAATTTGTGGTTGTAATCTCATAGCCGACGGAGAAACGTTATAGTTATAGGGTAACTATACTTATATAACTATAGTACCCCCATTAGGGTACTTGCAACCTTACTTACGAAGTCCCATGAGCCTCCAAGTAAGCCCCAAACCCTGAACCCTAAACCCTAAACCCTACCCTAAACTGCACCGGGGGAAAACAGCCTGCACCCGCAGCCCTGACGCTGGAACCCCACTGTTCAAGGGAGCCAAACAAAGGATCCCTTTAAAGGAACCCTGGAAAGGCACCCTCCTAAGGGCTGCTTTCAGGGTTGCTCTCATAAGGAGCCCTTAAGGTAACCCTGAAAATAGCTCTTAAGGGTGCCTTTCCACCTAAAGGGAACTCCAGAAAGTTGGAATATGGTTTCAGGGTAGGATACCTTATGATTTACCACAAAGGGCTTAGGATAAGCATATTCCAACTTTCTGGCTTTTACCTTAAACCCTAAACCCCTAAACCCAACGCTCTTTTAACGAACCCTTTGCCTTCAGGCCCGGGTTGGGAGCTCTACGAGGAGAGCGGGTTAAAAACCACCCGCCCCCCCCCCCCCCCTTGGGAGAGAGCACCGAAAAAGGCCATCGTAGGGTTTCAGTTTTAGGGATTCAGGATTTAGGGTTTCAGGCCATCGTAGGGTTTATGTAAGTTTTAGGGATTTAGGTTTTAGGGTTTCAGGGTTTCGGGGTTTAGGGGTAGATAGATAGAGAAGTAGGTGGATCTGTTCAATGGGTCGATAGGTAGATAGTAGGTCATATAGTAGATGGAGAGACAGAGAGAGGGAGAGGGAGAGAGAGAGAGAGAGAGCGACGGAGAGAGCGCGACAGTGAATTTTGAAAGGGGCAGAGAGGTGCTTGAGGTTTACATGCTGCTTGTAAAAGGGGTTGTTGGTTTCTCACGTGGTATGATCTCACTTTACAGAACATTACGTTTTTTCTGTACATTTCCTGGGTTTGAGTTGTTGTGTCCGCGGTGTTTCAGGTCTTGGAGCTTAGGAGGGTTGGGAATCTCAGCACGTCCATGCCTTTTGCTGTTTGGGGTTCAACTTGGTATTGACTTCAGTGCCGTTCGCCCTTCGGTTTTTACGGTCGACAGCCCAGTGCGAAGCAATGTTGCAGAGCAAGTGTCAGTAAGTTACTGGCAGGGTTTTGATGGTTCAGTGTTTAGCGCAAAGGGTTAAGGGTTTAGGGTTACGACGTTAGGGTTTTAGGGTGATGTTTGAATTACCGGTCAGAGATATGACTTCGATTGTTTCAGGTTTGGATTAGGGCTTCACATCTCAATGCTAGACACATGCGTGGAGTAGTCTCCGCATGCCTAGAATTCTAGATTTTTCGGGGCAGCGTATCATGAGACAGATTGATTTCCTAGTCCTATTCCTGTATTCTGTGGACCCCGTTGGCTTTACGGAGTCAAGACCATCAGAGTCCAGTTTACATATTTGTAGATCAGGGTGATTCGGGGCGGGTCTTGGGGAGTCGGCGGGTTTTTTTGAAAACAAGTGACTGAAATCTGTACGTACGTGACAGCATTGCTCCAGAACCCCCAGGCCAACAATTGGTAGATTTTCACGATGCCGTGGAAAGTTTGCAGGTGCTACACAATGATAATCAATGATACACGCCCAGAGCATTTCCTGGTGCAAATCTCCGCCCAGACAGCCCAATACACCCCTTAATTAAGGAATATGGCTAAAATTGTATAGGGCTTCATATTATGATTTAAGCTATATTCCTTAATTAAGCGGAATTGGGCTCTCTGGGCGAGTCCAACGGTGGTTGCCTAAATTTGTGCGACTTTGGCTCGGCGGTGTGCGGCGAAGGGCGGTGGATGCACACATGGCATCAGGTTTTTGGGGTTTAGGGTTTGGGGTTTATGTTTCTCTGATGGGGCTCGTGCCTGATATCCTGGTGCAACATAGGCGGGTGAGACGGATGCTTTTGGGAAGCAGCAGTCAGTCGTACTGACAGCTCGATGAACATATGACGGCCGAACCACTGAAATCGCATCCCCAGAAACATGCTGCAACATACCCGAAAGGCACGAATCCTACTCCATGAAATCAGGCTACACTGCAAATTCGAACCTTCAACCCCAAGCCCGGAACGCCCAAACCAGACCTTAAGCTCTCAAGCCGAAGGCTTGAAGCAAGAAAAACAGCTGAGCCCACTCCCTATAACATCTAAGTTATAACCCCGACCCCGAGAAATCTCCGTATTGTTGTGCAAACCTTGTCCCTGAACCCTTCAGACCTTGCACCTTACCTATAGTCTCCATCGTAGTTCCTTTTTGGGGTTACCTTATAGGATCCTAATTATATATTTGGTTAAACCAAAAAAAGGAACTACAATGGAGACTATAGGTAATCTTTAAACCTTAGAGCCGAAACCTTAACAACCTTTTTTGCCATGGCCTGGCCTCAGATGGAGGGGAAGAAGTGTTTCGAAGATTGGACAGGCTAGGGTTCTGGGTTTGGGCATTTAGACCTTCAGGTATGTGAGGTTTCGGAGCCGCGGCAGGATGACGGGAAGATTTGGTACTACCACAAAGGCACCGCAGGTGGTCCTGCCTGGGTGTGCCTTGGCCGGCTATTTCAGGAAGACGCTGGTGACGATTGCAATATAAGTACAGTATAATGTACCTTAACCACTACCGTTACCTGATTACTAAAGCCCCTACATCATAAAGCACGCCTTTACAGCATCCCTTATGGATTTTCAAATGAGTCGTATCAGAAACTACCAACCCTGTCTTATGAAGTGCTAACGAGGCTTCCATGTCAATTTTTGGGTTTTCGTCCGGGAGACACCTTGGAGGATTTCAGCAAAAAAAGTTGATCCCTTAATCTGGGCTCCTACTACTATTATGAGGCTGTAAGGCTGCAGTATAGGAACCGCCATTAAGGGATCTACTTTTTGGATTCTCCCGGGCGTCTGGGTCCTAAGCCCTCTAACAGAACTACTTAATGAGCCCCTAAACGCAGCAAACACCCAAATCCTTATACTATAACCCTCGAAGGAACCATGACCCTGAGGTATAAGGCGAGAACAGCCTTTGTCAAACAAAATCGAGTAAAGCCCAAAGCCTTCGCTGCAAACCCAGCCGGGCTTCCCGCTGCAGAAGCTCAGGAAACGGGCACTTTGAAAAACGACAAATATGCAGATGTCACATGTTGACAGCTCGTGTTACGAATAATAAGAACAAAAGGAGTGATAACAACCATAGAATAATAGCAATAACAATAACACTACAATAACACATAACATTATTTGTGTTATTATTTCTATGGTTTATTCATTATTAATGTTTTCTTGATGTTGTGTTTATTCTTACTGTTACGAACTGTGTTATTCCTATTGTTGTTCTCATTCCGCGATGACATTTATCGTACTCTGTAGTCTATAGGCCTGGAAATAAAGCCTTCAGAGGCACAGGGAGCCAGCTTCCTTTCAGGAGTTGACATAGAACCGCGTCTAAAGTTTAAGCCCCCGATGTTTCCTACAGGCAAAAGGTCAACCCTAAACCCTATCCCAAATCCTGCTCTACCTTTAACCCGAGACCCAATACCGAAGAGAAGAACATACAGGTGCTACGAAGGTCATGAGCCAGAGGCGGGCAATTCCGGCCGGCTTTGGCGAATGCGGTTTGGGATTTAGGGCTTGGGCCACACGGTTTACGGATTCAAATTTATGATTCTTTATGGATTAATCAGGATATTGATTTTTTGGTGAGTGCAATTTCGCTGGGTTTGCTTTTGGGGGTACGATAGGTAGAAAGAGACCGTTCGCTTCATGGGATCCCTTCAACTCTGCTGGGGGTTATCCTATAGAACCCTGTGTAGATGATTAAAACTGGTTAAAGAAATGGAACTACAATGGAGACTGTAGGTGGGGACTGAAGGAACCGCCAACCCTCAAGACCTTCCGTTTGGGTGCTGATGTTCAAAGAGATCGCGCGTCGGAGTGAGTCGGATGCCGGGACTAGGATTGAATCTGTCGGCTGCATCATGTTTCTCGAATTGTCTTTGTCATAGTTGGGTAAGATGTTACATTATCTGGGTACTTAAACCGACTCAAGCATTGAAATTTAGATTTTTAGTGCTATCCCAACCATGGACTAGGTGACTAGGAATTGGGGCTATAAGGATCTATGGGGGTTTCGGGTCCACTAGGTTCCTTAAAGGGCTCATTCAAAGGGTTCTATGCTGGATCTAGAGGGGTTTTCTGTATAAGCTCTATTTAGGGTTTGGGGTCTTCGGGTTTAGGATCTATAGGTTTTACTAGGGGGAAAGGGGCTGATCAACTAGGTCTTTACATTACCCTGTATCGGCGGAGGTGAAGCTTTGAAGCAGAGAGCCAGACAGAAGAAGACACTCTGCCAGTTATAGGGTTTAGGGCCTGCAGGGCTTGGGGTTTAGGGCCTGTAGGGCTTAGGGTTTACAGGTTTCGGGTGTTGGTTTAGGGTTCGGGGTTCTGGTTACGGAAAGGACTCGTTTTGAATCACCATAAGAGGTATCTTCGGTTTCCTAACATCAACACAAAGGAGCGATGGTCTTGTGTGGACTTCATGTGAATTGTCATCAAAGGTCTTCAAGGGACTATCAAGCCTAACGACAGATGGGAACTGTGTTTCCATCATCGGATCCAAGGATAGTCCGCAGCACGAGGCCCTATGCCTGACACGGAAGCTTTCTAGATACATGCTCTCTTGAGAGGCATGGTGGGAGCAATCCGCTCCTGAAAGCCACTTGGCTTGAATATTTCAAGTCACCAGATATTACATGGGCACGATTATTTGCACATGCTGTTTCTTAGGGTTTTTCTGAATAGATAGAGGAACAAGTATCTGTATTAAGCAGTTTTAGCAGGGAGACACGAGGATGTGTCCATTATTGAAGGCTCAGGTATTCTAGTTGCACATGGCGGACATCTTGTGTTTCTTGGTTCGTGTCTGGTGCTGAGTCTGTGTATTCTTTGGCTCTGGGCAGCCCTGCCCACTAAAAGACGGCTCAGTATGTGCCCTGATCCGTTAGGTATCCCGCCGAGCCGTGTGACAACCTTGTGTTCTTCAACGTGGGTTTTATTCAAGGCAGCATCTAGATTTCATTCAACTTGCCACCAAGAGCAGCTCAGTCGAGGTTCCTAGACCGCGGGGCGGCAGCTCGCGTGCGCACTCGCGCGCGCGGGGGATCGCTCTTCCGGAATCCTGTGCTGTGGGCTCAGGGAGCACTCCGAGCAGTAATGCATATTCGGTTCAGGGTCTAGGCTTGCTGGGGCCGATAGGATTCAGGGTTCTATGTTGCAGGCGTTATAGTTTCGAGGTCATAGGCTCATAGATCTCAGGTAGAGGCGGAAGACTTTTTTGGCAAAGTTTCGACAGGACAAAGTACGGACATTAGATGGGTTCTTGTTGAGGAATTTGATTTATGTTACCATAATAGAAATCTATAGTAAACAATAAGTTTCCGTATTATGGTTATTTAATATACGGTCCTTAACAAGAACCCAGATTCGCAAACGTGTCAATTTGCTGAGGTATTTGTCTTGTCTAACTTTCCAGAGAATCATTGCCAAAAAGTGCATTGCTGCAGTTGTTGGCAACTCCACCGGCATCCATGGAGCCCACGTGTCCTATAGGGTTTATAGAGGCCTCATAATTAAAATAGAGTTTGGGTGGAAATGGGAGCTAGAAGGGGATACTATGACAACTAATGCAGGAACCTGGTTAAGAAACCTTGGGCCATTATTAGGGTTCTTTATATGGGGTTACAGGCCCAGGGTTTCTTAATCAGGCTCCTACATTACTCCAATCCCTGCATTATTTCTGGGCTGCTCAGGTTCGTGCTGCTGGAAGATCGGCTTTGAATGGAACGTATGTTCGCAGCCACCGCAGACCACTCCTGGAGCTATCAGCGCGCATGGCCTTTCCAATATCTTCTAGCCCAGAGGGTCCATATACACTACCATTGCGGAATCAGGTTCCGAAAGACCATCCCTGACATGGTTTGGGGGGCCTAATTCCATAATAGTAGTATATATGGACCCTCTGGGTAATTCTAGCCCTTCAACTCGGGTTTACGGTTTGGAACTCCCCTAAACTTCCTAAATCCTCAACCCAAGTTCCTCACAGCCACCGGAGGACCTTCTGAGTGCGTAGATACGGTTGAGTTGTTCTTTCACGCTGCGACCCCGAAGCAGGTATTGCACTTGTAGCGCTACTGTTTTTTCCTTCATTGAAGCATAAAAGCCCCGATTGCTGAAGCCTAAGCCTGCACCAGGGGAAATGGGGGGGGCCATGTGCGCGCAGTCGTGGTGACATGCATATGCCGCAGCTGCTGAACACAAAAATTGCCATGATTTGTCTATGATTTGTCACTCTTCGGACATAGAAGTCGGTTAATCGAATGTCAGACAAACGGACTAGCATTGTAGCTAGTCAAGAAGGGGAATACACTGTTGAGTTGCTCATCACTTGGTCAGACGTAGCCATGACGTACGTCGGCGACAACAGCAACCACAATAGCGACTACAACATCATCATCACCATCACCATCATGATATTATTCTTCTGCCGCCTCCCCATCATCGTCGTCATCATCATCATCAGCATCACCATATCATCATGTTTCTTCTCCTCCTCCTCATCTTCCACCTCCACCTTCACTTCCTCCTGCTGCTGCTGCTGCTGCTGCTGCTGCTACTCTTACTTCGTCTCCTACTCCTACTCTCCTGCTTCCAAACCATGCCTTTGACGACTATCCAAACTATGTTTTTGACGACTCCTGCTAAGACTACTACTACTACTACCACAACAAGCTACTACTGCTGCTGTTGTGACCATGGACATCACCGCCCGTGCCATGATCATGGGCACAACCATCACCAGCATCATCGCCGTGATTTGTGATCTTTTGATAGTGCTCAACAACAATAAACTAAACTTCTAGTTGCCATCATCATGACCACCTCTGTTACCGAAACCATCTTTCCTCCGCATCTAACTGCTTATCCGACGACCCCAGATTTCCTCAACACCGCAAGTGCAAACATCACCTGCATCATACCCCAGACCCCAACCCCTAAACCCAAAGCCCTATGCCCTAAACCTGCACCAGCACTTCAGTCGGAACTCTTCCTTAGAAGGACCTTGGAAGCCAGGAGCATTGCATAGTCCTTTTCAAATCGCTTAGGGATTTGGGTTCGGGGCTTGGGGTCTAGGGTTTAGGGTTCAAGTCATACTATTTGGGGTTCAGGGATTAGGGCTTAGGGTTTTGTAGTGAGACTCGGGATGAAGGTCTAGCCAGAGCTTTGGTATTTTGGTGTAGGCTTTAGGGTATTAAGGTTTAGGCCCCAACATCGGGGCTAGTCCAGTGCTCCTTTCGGTAGCCACTAACAGCACCCCATAGCCAATGCCTTTAGGTCTACAGCGCAGGCTGCACATGTCTGGGTGGTAGTATACGGGCCCAAGAGTGACAGTACCTACGTTCCAATGACTTAGTTTCTTCGCCTTTGCTTGTTTGTCAGTAGTCCTCCGTAATGTCATTCTGTTCTTCTGCATAACAAGAGTGTCATGTACGGCATAGCTTTGTTCTCGCCGCTCACTTCCGCAATATTCTGAAAGGCTGACCCATTGACCCTTGCTGCTGTGTCTGCTTTCTCTTCAGTGGGCATTGTGATTGTGCAGGTGCACGTTACAACTCAGGCCATCAATCGTCAAACTATGTCAAGCCAGAAATCCCAAGTCCGAAGCCCAAACCCGAAAAGCCCTAAACCCTCTTAGCTGCAAAGCTACTGCCTCGATTGCTCCGCCAGTATTGGCTCCAGTGAAGAATTTCCGTACAGAGTTGATTTGACGGGCGCGGGCCTCGGATTGAAGATTCCATGTCCGGGACTGGAGACTGAGGAGAAGGCTTCCCGATTGAGGCGATTTTAGAGTCTGGGAATTGGGGCTCGGGTTTTGGATTCAGGACCCTTCAACCCCGAAACCCTAAATCCCACCCCAAACCTTAAACCCACGGGCCCCTGAAGCCCGAAACCCTACATAAAGCCCAAAAGCCCTGAACCCCACCGAGAGGAAAAAGGCGCTCAGCAAAAAAAAAAAAAAACTACCCTGCAAACCCAAAACCCGAAGGGTCCAAAGTACCGATATAGTAGAATGTAGGGTTTCTGTATTAGGAATATCTATTATGATTTAGGGAAGTATTCCCCATAACAGTACATAGGATCCTTTGGGAAAGCACCCTCCAGAAGGCAGAGTGGAAGTCAAGGCCGCAGGGTCGATAAACTGGCCGCCAGGTCAGTTAACAAGAGGCGGCTTCGGGGGCTTAGTGTTTAGGCTTTAGGAGTTTAGTGTTTGGCTGCGTCTTTCGGGGTTCCTTCTTAGGTTGCCTGACTATGATCCCCTTATAGAAGTCATGAAAAGGCAGGTTATTCGGAGTCCAGTTAGTGTTTGCGGTGCCTCTGATCCCTGAAATTGTCCTTTGTGGGTAGCACAGGAGCCTAATAATTACTTCACTATTTCGGGTGATCTTTATTGTTATTACAGCAAAATGGGGCCCAAAACCTTATTCGAATTGTCAAGGCCCCTAAATTCGTTGGGTTTGAAGCTTCTTTGGGCCGTACCTTGGACGTCCTTCTGCAATGGGTGAGACCCTATAGGACTTCAGGCCCCAAAGATCCCCAAAGCCCCTATACAATGCAGCCCTAAACATATATATGTATATATATATATATATGTATATATATATATACATATATACATATATATATGTATACATATATATGTATGTACGTATATACATACATGTTATGTGTATATATATATATATATATGTATAAAGCTCCGGACAAGGCCTCATCGCCGCAATGATTGGTGGCTATCCCGCGCCCAGAGCTCGGTTGGCACAAGACATCGCAGTTTCGTCTTGAAGGTTTCATGTAGACTCCTGAGAGCTTGGGGTTTGGGGTTTAGGGTATTTAGGGTCCCTGAGTAATGAAATCTATACGTAGCGTTCCTAATCAAACATCACTGTCTTGAAACGGGATGACGACTGGGGGGCTGATTAATTAAGTAGATGGGTTTACCTTATGGCTCTTGTCTGAATCAGATATCCGCAGCCTTCATTAACATAACAGGCCTGACCGTCGACGTCGTCGCTCCTTTTTGCATCGGCTTAACATAGTCCTCGTCGCTGTCGTCTTGGTCATAAATCGTTGCTTTCCTGTTGCCTTCGGCTTCTTCGTCCTGATTGTACTCGAAAGAGTTGTGGCTACTGCAAGAACAAACGGTCCTTCACCCAGGGCACAGCACCACAGCAAGCATGACCATTCTCACCATTCATCCGAGAAGCAATGCCGCCGTTTGCATCAGCAAGATGCACTCACTGCTGCCACTATGACCACGCGACCGTGTTCACCCCTAAACCCTAAAACGGAACCCCAAACCCCTCAACCCCTAAACCCGAAGCCCTAAACCCCTAAACCCTAAATCTCTAAATCCTTAACCCTCACGCCTAAATCCTTAACCCTAAAACCCTAAACCTCTAAACCCCAACCCCTAAGCCCTACCTGAGACCCTAAAGCCCTAATCCGTGTAAATCTCCAGCGCAGCGGCGAGGGAGGGGGCTTCCTAGTTGCAGAACAACCCTTAGCAAGGAACCCAAAAGTCAGGGATGCAGGATTTTTTCCCGTACTCCGTAAAGACTGTATAGATTCCTTCTTTCTAGATTCTAGATAGCCATACAGTACTTCACGTTCCCTATAAACCCAAAGCCCTAAAGCCTAAACTCAGGAGTTTTCATTTGGGGCTTTTGGGCTCTCCGGGAGTTCAGAACCCTAAGGGTCCAAGTAGTCCTTATCAATTGCGTCTTGTATCCAAAAGGCCCCAAGGTCCTCCAATAACCTAGGTTCCCAACACCCAACCTTAACATTTTTTGGGGTTCTTACAGTTTAATAGGAATCGGAAAGTTTAACCTTTTATTTCTATGGTTTATTTGGGGAGGAAGAGAAGTAATAAGTCCCCAAATTCGTGAGTACCTGGGCTCTCCGGGAATGTCGAACTGGGCCCAGGAGGCAGCGAGCTCAAACGGAGGCCAGGGTCCGCCTTTCAGGGCTTGAATTTTTAGGCTTTTTGGGGTAAGGGTTAGAGTTAGGGTTTAGGGTTTTAGTGTTTTAGTGTTTTTAGGGTTTGGGTTTGGGTTGATGGTTTTAGGGTTTTTTAGGGTTCTGGGTTTAGGGTTTAGGGCTTTTGGGGTTATTGTGGTTTAGGGTTTAGGGCTTTTGGGGTTTATAGGGCTTCTGGCTTTTAGGGTTGAGTTTGGGTTTGGGTTTAGGTTGTACGGTTTAGGGTTTTTTAGGTTGTTTTAGGGTTTAGGGTTCGGGGGGGGGTTAGGGGTTTAGGGTTTTACGGTTTAGGGTCACGCTTCAGGGATTAGGGTTAGGGTTTAGGGGTGAGGGTTCATGGTTTGGTGTTTCGGGTTAGGCTTTATAGTTTACTGTAGGGCTTCACTATGGAAATGGTTGTTTCGAGTTTTAGGGGTTCGGGTTAAGGTTCAGGGCAGTTTGATTTTGCAGGTTTAAGATGTGAGTTTAGGGCTTAGGGCAGTCTAGATTTTGCAGCTAATGGAGGTAGGGTTTGGGGTTTAGTGAATTCTTGGATTCAGGATTCAGGGTTTTAGATTCAGAAGTCGCAATCTTCCACACTTGAGCTGGCGGTCGTGTTGAACTTGGGACTCATCGCAGATTGAGTCTCAACATTTCGAGATGTGACGCTTCCTACAGAGACGGATTCGCAACTGCTTTACATGTAACTAAGCAGGGCTTTCCTGGCATGCGGGTTCGGGATGCTTCTGAACAGAGTTTGTTTTAGGAGGTGGGCTGCAGTATACAGCAAGAAGAACAAATAAGTGGTGTGGTGCGATCACTGCCGCGACTGCGACGACGACGACTGGTTGCTGTTTCTGGTTCTTCCACAACTGCGTGAACCTGTCGGGCTCCGCTGGCAGAACCTCTATACTACTCCAGTCAGCTGGCTTCGTGCAGCATCTCGTATCCGCTTTTTATCCGGATCTGAACAGTGCAATAACAGCTCCAAACCACAACCCTGAACCATAAACCCAGAAACCAATCAAGCAGCTAACTCCCCAAATCCCAAACTAAAAGAGCCATGCGCAGCTCTTGTCCGGAAACTTAGCCGAAGCCTAAACTCCAGCCCCTATACTTTAATAGCAAATACCCTAAACCCCAAACCCGGAACCCTCCCGGACCCAACTCACGCAGATGCAAATCGCACCGAGAGCGCAGGATCCGTGCTGCCCTTAGTTTCTGCAGGGCTGAGGGCTTCCAGGCTTTTGTAGGGTTTAGGTTTGTCAGGTTGGGTTTAGAGCTGGAGGAGGAGTTTCGGAGGAGTTTAGGTTTCTTTTTGGTTTGGGGGTTTAGGTTAGGTTTCCTTTTGGTTTGGGGGTTTAGGTTAGGTTTCGTTTTGGTTTGAGGGTTTGGGCTTCAGTGTTGCAGCCTGTTTTGCATGGGAGTGACCCCATGCCCTCCGGCCAGCCCCATGCAATGACATGACTTTGAACACTTAAGGTTCCAAGTACCCAAATGGTAATTTTTTGGGTGTGTTTGGACCCTTAAATAGTAGGGTTTCAATTTCCAAAAGCCATTTAGAATCCCTACTATTTTGGGGACCCTCTGCGAATACTGGTGCGGAAGTTTCGCACAGCCTTTGGGAAACTCCATCGCGCGCACAGTCGCTAGAGCACTACACCCTCTACCTGAAACCCCAAAACCCGAACCGTCCTAGACCCCCGCCCCCACCAAACAAAAACGCTGAAGCTGGAGCCCTGGGCCCTAAGCTGAGTAGACATGTTTTCTGATCTCCCGAAGGGTCCATGGACCCATAGTAGTATTAGTGCTTCGGCCTCAACGCAGTCCCTATATAGGTATACTTTAGGGCCAAAGTGTATACGGCGCGGCTACATTCTATTTTCTGAATATACTTAAGATCCTCTAAGTTAGCCCCAAAAAGGAACTGCAATGGAAACTATAGGTAGTGCCCTAAACCCTAAGCGGTCTACTTCTGGCGAGGTTCGGGATGCTGGACGACATGATGATGCAGCCCTTCGGTGGCCGGAGCCTCAGGCGACTCGTGAGACTGCGCCCTTACCCAGGGGAGCCCGGGACCCCTGAAGTAAGGAAGGTGCCTTGAATCATAACATTAGGCTTCTTAGAAGTTGAAAGCATGTAGCCCTTAACTAAGTAATGTGGCTCACATCATACCATAAAGCCTCTCCTCTTGGAATTTAAAGTATGTGCCCCAAAATTCAGAAATGCGCCTTAAAACATAACATGAAGCCTCTTAGAATCCTAGAATTGGAGGGATGTTCCAGAATTGACGGGCATTGAGTTCTTTGGTCAGCTGTTGGTCGGCCCACTGGGCCCGAAAAGGGGTTTATTGAGAACTCATCGCACTAAAGGGAACTCCAGAAAGTTGGAATATGGTTTCAGGGTAGGATACCCTAAAATTTACCATAAAGGGTTTAGGATAATCATATTCCAACTTTCTGGGGTTTACTTTACACAACTAGAAACCAGGATAGATTTCTTAAGACTTGTGGCCTAAATCTGACGTCTGAAACACAAAGATTGCTCAATATGAACCTGGATCACTACTCTGCTAGTCATAGACCACGCGATGGCGAAAGCTGTTAGTCACTTGTCTTTGGCAGAGCTGTGTTCGTACCCGGAAGACACGAGGAATCTGTTTTGGTACGGACCCAGAGGGACCACCAAACAGAAAATCCTCCATGTTCTGAAACAGTCTGTTGAGGCCTTGTTATTCTACCGTTGTCTTGGAGTCAGGTTCCGGAGTGGGGGTCTCTAAGCTATGAAGGATTAGGGTTTACCAGGCTGCCTACAAAGTATTTATAGGATCCGTCCCATAGCCTTTCTGGACCCTCCCCGGTCGGATACCAAACTCGAAAACTGTCGTTTATCACCCAAAGCGGTGAATTGATCGGAAAACCGCCGCACCAGGAAGCTTGCAAAAAGGAACGCCTGCATCGACTGCCGGCAATAGAACAGGCATGGGTGGTTGTCAAATCATAGTCCCTTTTTGGGGTACCCTAAATAATAGGTGCTGTACTACAATAGGGACCCACAAAGAAGCCTTAATTTTGACAACCACCCACATGGAACTCCCAGTCTCATCCGTTTTTCGACAACAGCACCGACAAGGGTTGGGTACTGCTGGGAACTTGCTGAGTTCAAGGTTTGGGGCACCCTAAACCCTAAACTCCACACCCTGAACCAAAAAGAAACCTAAAGCCGGAAACCGTCGTGTAGACCAGGACCTGCCAAGGTCCGCATGGTCCTTAATAATGGGTATTTGGGGGTCTATGAGTGATCTAGGGTACAATATTCCCCCAAGCCCTACTCTAATTGTTCAGGCCCTTTATAGTAGATCGCCGAAGCCACCGTAAACTCCAAACCTTTGGGGTGCATGGGTAGGTCTAGGCAGGGTTCAGGATTTCGCATTTCGAGGACCAGCTGGTGGCGGCATGTTCGGCTCGATGTTCGGGCAGATGAACCGCATGATGCAGGCTTGGGGGTGCCGGATATGCATATATATATATATGGTCACCCCCCCCCGTTGACAGACCATCCCCTTCAAAACATCGCTCCCACCGGTGTGTTCGTGCTTTTTCCGGGGTATCGAGTTTGAGCCCTCCGAACGTATCTGTGGAACCACCAAAAGACTCGTTGACAGACCATGCCCTTTCAACTCAGTCGTAGTGCATGGTCTGTGATCGGGGGAGGGGGTACTCAGCTTTCAAAAACTCAATTCCAAAATTTCCAAAATTTCCAAAATTCTCTCCCTTAACTTTCCGGATTTCCAAAATTTCCAAAATTTCCAAAATTTCCGAAATTTCCAAAATTTCCAAAATTTCCAAAATTTCCAAAATTTCCAAAACGGCCCGACCTAGTGGACAGGATTTTTCCAAAACATAAGGGCGGACTTTTTGGAAATTTTGGAAATTTTGGAAATTTCGGAAATTTTGGAAATTTTGGAAATTTTGGAAATTTTGGAAATTTTGGAAATTTTGGAAATTTTGGAAATTTCGGAAATTTTGGAAGTTTTGGAACTTTTGGAAATTTTGGAATCTCTGGACCTTGGAATTGATTCTCAGGAGGGCTGATTGTGACCCATCCGATGACAGACCATGCACGACTTACTTGCAAAGGCAAGGGCTGTCAATACTCATGCCCATATTTAAACGAATATCTCTCAATCTACCTGTCTATCTGTATATACATATATGTATTGATACTCCTACATATAGTATTGCCATTGGAAATACTGACAGTGATCATTTGTTGAATGCTCAAGCTAATACCAGCATTACTACTAATATTACACTTCTATAAAGCTTAGTACGAATATGCATAACACAAATACTAAGATTGATTAGTATTGCTCTTATTACTCCTACGCATATCAATAACCATATTCATATTGATAATAATGTATATTAATACCAATACTAACACACACCTGTATGTACTAATGTACATAAACATGCATACCACCATATTAAAATACAAATCCTTTAACTCACTCATGTATTCAACTGTTAGAATTTCACGTGATCAAGAGTAATAATACTACAAACATTCTTTCGAATGTATATCATCAATAATATTATAGTACTAACGCTAACACTACTGCTAATACTTAACACAAAATTTATACTAACATCAATATTTACATAGCTATTGATACTCCTACGAATACGAATACGTAAACTCTTGTGCGTTAACAGTAGTGCTATCACCAACACTAATACGGACTTTGATAATCTGCTGAATATTCAAGAATGCCACTAGTATTACCAGCATGAACACCCATATTATGGCTATTACGAGTATAAATAGTCCTATTTCTAATAATATTGACATTAATACTGCTACGAATACCAATAGTATATTCATATTGATATGAAAACTAATATCATTACTAATGGACACCTGCTTATACTAATGTACATAAAATACAGCTAACACTACTGCTAATACTTCACACAAAATTTATACTAACATCAATATTTACATAGCTATTGATACTCCTACGAATACGAGTACGTAAACTCTTGTGCGTTAACAGTGATGCTATCACCAACACTAGTACGGACTTTGATAATCTGCTGAATATTCAAGAATGCCACTAGTATTACCAGCATGAACACTCATATTATGGCTATTACGAGTATAAATAGTCCTATTTCTAATAATATTGACATTAATACTGCTACGAACACCAATAGTATATTCATATTGATATGATGACTAATATCATTACTAATAGACACCTGCATATACTAATGTACATAAAATACATACCACTATCTTAAGATACAGATATATACGTCAGTGCATTCATGTATTAATGCTTTGGCATAGGCATATGCCCATATACCAATGTATCAATATACCTCTCGTTGTTGTATGAGTATACTACACGAATATGTGACTGTACTCATATACGGCTACTGCACTATGCAAGAATACCGACATGACAAGTTCGTATACCAATCCAATATGCCAACATACTGATATACTTATAAATGATTAGATAAAACAGTCATATAGTACACATACTCGTACACTAATATGCTAACGTTCGAATATACTGGTATGTCAATATACTAGTAAGCTAGTACAGCAGTATAGTAGTGTATTCATGCACCAGTTGTACTAACATGTAAAATATACTAGTATACAAGTATGCAAATATTTTACTGTTCGAATACATTGATGTACTGATATACTCATCTGCTAATATACGAGACTATCAATATACTAACATATCCAAACTAACTAGTTCTAATATTGATACTAATACTAGCACTTCTGCGAATATAAGCTGCTGTTAAACCCAGCATTAAGACTGATACTGATACTACTCGTAGCAGTGGTGCTGTATTACTGACATTGACACTGGCACTAGCGCTAACTCTAACACGAACATGAGCACTAACACTAATTTATAGTTGGCAATATTGATACGTATACTTATAGCAAACAATAGTACTAATATTAATAATAATACTCACCCTAATACCGATACTACCACAAGACTGTTACGTAACTCATGTGCCGCACGTCTGGTGCTATACTATGTACCTCATGTAAAGGTTTTGCTTCATAGAATATCGTCGTGCACGGTGTTTTTTAGACCCGCGGTCTGTCAACGGGGGGGGGGTGAGCATATATATATATGTATATATATGTCTGTATGTATATTTATTCACATATGCATATATATATATACACATACATACGCATATATATATATATATATATATGTGAATAAATACACATACAGACATATACATATATATATATAGAGAGAGAGAGAGAGAGAGAGATAGGGTTCGAATGGTGTTTGTAGGTCTTAGTTTCATATGTAATTAGGGTTTTGGAGTGCAGCAAGCAGTATGTTTGGCCGAGCTGCTTTTTCTGCTTGGTTTTGGGCTCAGGCTTTGAAGGGAGAAACGAGGACTTAGTTCAGCTGGGTGCTTTGCAGTCAGAGTTTAGGGTCCGATGTTTCAGGCGTGAAAGTACAACAAAACGCTCAACTAAACTTCACCTCGAAAGCTTACCCTATGATGTGCAGAAACTACAACCACGACCCTAAGATTGAAGCGCTAACCTTACAAGCAGCCTAAACCACGCCCATGATCCCCCCACCCACAACTGACTGAACGGATTTTATCAGTGGGTCAAAGGGTGCCTCCATCCCAACACTCTAACTGTAATGGCTGTGGTAACCACCAAAAACCATTCAGCGAGTATTTCGGGTCGGAACCCCACGAGTAGAGTGCTGAAAAATTCTGGCAAGTGCACATACACCTAAGTCACGTAAGCCCTACCTTAACCTCCCAAACCCTGCCTTTTTCAGGCTAGGAACTCTATGTTTTCCGGGGGTTATATAAGGCAGTCCCTAAACCCTTTCAGATCCCAAAACCCTAAACCCTCGGTCCAACACCAGGAGATGGATACGATGATGAGCCGCGGGGGCATGATGGGCCCAGACATGCCTGACGCCACAGGGGCTTGCGGCTTTACGGGTTTTAGGGTTTAGGGTGATTGAGAGTTTAGGGTTATTAAGGGTCATTTAGGGTTTTGAGTTTGGGCGGCAGTCTCTCTGTACAAATCCTCCCAGAGTTTAGGATCTCGGGCTTAAGGTTTCCCTTCCAGTGTGTTTCCTGGCATTGTTGTATGTTTCGTTTTACATCCCAGGCGCTTCTCACACACGCAAACAAACAAGCACACACACACACACATGCTCCCTCGCTCGCTCGCTGTCTCGCTCTCTCTTCGTTTGTGTTTTTAATATATCATAATATATCTGTCTCTCTCTCTCTCTCACTCTCTCTCTGTCTCTGTCCCTCTCTGTCTCTCTCGCTCTGTTTCCGCCTCTCCTCAGATCAGAAAATTTATGTGAAAGCCCTCATAGAACTTCTGCTCTACAACTTCGCGGTCGAACAAACCAAAACCCTAAACCTTAAACGTAAAGACTAAATTGGCATGCTTTGTCATTGCTTGTGTTTGGGATTGAGTTGATGGTTCGGGGTTTAGGTTTTATGGTTTACACCTTTCATTGAAGGTTGAAATATGAGATTCGGGCTCGGTGAGGGCTTGGGGTCTTGGATGTTGAGGTCACTGTGTTGGGATGTTCAGTTTCGGGCGCCCCCTTGATAAGCCCTATATACACCTTAAATCCTAAATTCCCCTCTACGTTTGACATCTACGTAAATTTCAATTTCGCCGTAACCCTGCATCCGAAGCCAGTCTTGACTGTTAGAATGGGGGCCTCTGGTGCGTGGTTGTCATCTTAGGTCGAAGAGCCTGACGAAGATATAGCTGTCGCTGTGGGATACGCTGGGGCTGTGCCGAAATCTCCAAAAGATTTGTGGGCTTTAGCTTTGGTTCGTAAGGTTTCGGTTTATATAACATGGTTTAACTTGATGCCGAAGTGTGTTTAACTCGAAGTTTTGACTTATCTCCTAAAGCAGTCTGTCTCTCATACGGAGTGCCTTGTCTTGTGGGATCCTTGAAGGAGGCGGGTCCGTGAAGGGTATATGACCTAGCCCGAGTAATCCCAGTTGTGCCAATACGCCCTGAGGTTCTGTAAGGACCCCGAGTAGCCTGCCCCCTTGAACTATCCTCCCCTGGAGATCCTGCCTATAGTGGCAATTGTAGTTCCTTTTTGGGGTTACCTGAAAGGATCCTACTTATTAATAAACATTGTTAAACCAAAACAGGAACCACAATGGAGATCGCAGGTGTGATTAGTTGTCTTTCGTGCAAAGCCCCAAGCCTTAAAACTCCCAAGGTTTGGTGGCGGCGGACAGAGCAGCATGATGATGAGCAGCATGGGTGGCGGAGGAGGTGGAAGTGGAAAGCTCAGACTATTGAGCTGGCTTCAAAGTGGAATTTAAGCTATCTTAATAGGGGTGTATCGTAGGTAGTAGATCGATTTCCTGATTATGCAAGCTGGAACTAAAATCCTTAACACAAGGGGTCGTAATATTTTGTAACAGTTGAGAGTGTAAACCGACTAGGCTATGGTGTACTATCTCCCCGCATCCCTGTCGTGATTCTTGCAGTTCCGGTATGAGGGGAAGATAAGTATCAAGTCTCAGCAGTCAGTGGATAATTTTCTCATGTGTGGACTGTAGTCCTGTAGCACGATCTACCGCAACACCGTCTTGTATTCATTTCCAACTCAGCTCATCTTTTCTCAAGAGTTTGACTTGCAAGCCTCATGTTCCTAAACCCCAATTCCCGTAGAACCTAAACTCCTGAACGCCGAAAACCTATCCCTTAAACCCTTACCCCCTTAAAATCCCGCAAACCTTCCGTGGCAGCTCAGGCTTTTCGTGCCAGACATTCTCGTTCTCGTCTCGCACGGGCCGGACCCTCTTTTCTGCGCCTGGGGCGTCCCAGGCGATGTTGCAGGGGACCCGCCCTCAACCCTAAACCCCTAAACCCTTGCTCCTTTCCTACGAGTAGTGTCCAAAAGCTAATCTGCATCGTATGTCGTAGACTGTAGACTCGGCATGATAAGACTTGCCGCAAGCCAGATCCACCTGAAACCAGCCTTGCCCTCGGCATATGCTACCATTCTAGCAAATCGACCTCACACCGCATATCCAAAACTCCTAAGCTGCACAATTGAGCTCTGAATTAACTCCAGTCCGTCCTGAAGACCCTAAACCCTACCTATAGTCTCCAGTGTAGTTCCTTTTTGGGGTTACCTTATAGGATCCTAATTATATATTTGGTTAAACCAAAAGAAGGAACTACAATGGAGACTATAGGTAGACCCTAAACCCTAAACCCTAGACCCTAAACCCTAAAACCTAGACCCTAAACCCTAAACCCTAACCCCTTGAAGACTGATCACGAGACTTAGAGCTCAACGTCCGAGCCCCAGATACCGACAAAGAGTGTTATACAGCGAAAGAACGCGCGCTTTGCTCTCAGATGAAGGGCGCAGGTTCTTAGGATGTTAGGTTTTTAGGCTTTTAGGGTTTAGCCTTTTAGGGTATAGGCTTTTAGGACTGTTGGAATTGGGATTGAGGGCCTGAACTTTCTCCCCAAAGGCCCTACGGTTCCTGCGGCAGTGAACCTGAAACTGACCTTACACTGTCGACTCTAAGACGTAGGATCTACACCCGAGAGACTGATGACATCTCAAATCAAAAAGGGATCATGGGAATCATGGTGCACCCTTTGTTATGCGCATATTTTCGGGTTGTGTTCAGCAAGGGTCATGCGGGGAATCCCCGGCTGCGAACCGCTCTTAGATTGAAATCGAACCGCATGTAGCCTAAGCCCTCAACGCCTGAAGCCATGCGCCCCCAATCCCCAAGCTCCACATCCTTACACCCTACATCCCTAATCCCGTAGCCCCCGGACCCTAAGACACCGCAGCAGCCCAAGGTCCCGACGGTCAGGTCCACACCGAGCAGCCGGGATCCTGGATGGCGAAGTGGAGCTGGCGAACTGGACCGAGAATACATGACTGTCATCTCGAATATTCTTAGGATAACTGTGACAGACGTGAAATGGCGGACACACTGTGAAGGTGTGTGTGTGTGTGTGTGGGCATATCTAGATCTACATCTTTGTTTGTCCATATATATATATATATAGGGTATAGGTACAGGTAAATCTATAGACTTGAAGACCTATATAGGTATAGCTATAGGTGTTGAGCACACACACACACACACACTGACCGCAAAATGCATACGACAGGCCAAAAGCCCGCTTCGCCTGCACACCCTACACGCCCTACACTGCCTTTAACACCCTACTGTTATGGAGACCCTTACATATGCCCTCTAACGCCCTAAACCCATAAACCCATAAATACCCTAAACCCTTAACCCCTAAACCGTAAGCATAAGCCCCAGGTTCTCTTCCAGCGCAGTGGGCGACCGGTCTCAGAACGTGCACGAGGTCCAGCAGGCAGCGGGGTGTTCTTTGTGGGTTCGTTGTGCTCTGTTTTTGGTGGGAGGGAGGGAGGTGAATCACATTGAAGGTGATTCCATGATGTTCCTTCCTTGGTGGGAGGGAGGTGGGTGAATCACATTGAAGGTGATTCCATGATGTTCCTTTTTTGTGGGGAGGGAGGTGGGTGAATCACATTGAAGTTCGGTTTCGTGCAGTTCGAAGATGGTTTGTATGGACACGTAGAGCCATACTTTGTGGGGAGGGAGGTGGTTGAAACACATTGAAGGTGTTTCCATGATTTTCGAAGCCATATCACAAGGGGTTTGACAGTTACATGATCTCAGATGGCTGAGGGTGAAAGTCTGAAGCTGAAGCCATGAGTCACCCAGGGAAAAGGCTTCATGCAAGAAAAGCAAAGTGTGAGGTTTAGGAGTGTGCTCAATTGAGTGTATGTTCTCTTTGGGTCTAGTGCATGAGTATTATGATTCAATGAGAGTCTGGGTGTGTTAACTGTTAGCAGTACTTCGGATCCGGGTCAGTAAACCCTTGCGCAAACCCTATAAGCCTTCAGCCCAACAGCCGTACAATCGCTTTTTCAACATGAAAGAGTTCTGCTTCTGGCCGAGACACTGTACTATCCCCGAGACGGAATACGCGAAAGTTCCACTGGCTTACCTTCGTTACGGCAAACAGTAGAGCCTCTGAAAAACCATTCCAGGAGCCTCTCCATAAAACTCTTCCATTTTACGCCCTAAAGGCCCTGCATGGGCCAAGGAAAAAGGAGCCCAACCCTAAATCCCTAAACCCCCAGAGAGGAAAAGGAGCTGACCACACAAAACGATCAGAAGTCAGTCGCCCTGGCCAGATGTACAGCAATAGCCGGACCGGCGAGGACAAGATGTCGGAAACTCGGGCACAAGGGTTATGAATCTTTAGGCTTTAGTTATGCATTATAAGGTTGTTTAGGGTTTATTGGGATTTAGGGTTATTTAGGGCTTGATGGCTTAATGGTTTAGGGATGCGTGTGCAGTGAGGTCTCCAGGGCCTGGGCTTACGATGTTTTGACATCTCCTTGCAAACCGTGCACCTGGAATGCCCAGTATGGAATTATATAGGTCCCCGAAATCATTATAGGGACTACGTCTCCTTAGCCTATCCCCTATACCCCAAACGCTAGAACCCATAGAACCCTGCTGCAGTTGTCGGGGCCCCTACACCAAGGGTCCAAGTACCTAATAACCATAACATACTCTCCAAAATCCTGACCTACTTATATAACTACTATCCTAAAACCGAGTACCTGATATTCGGTCCGTTGGACCCTTGGGGAAACCTTAAACTCTAATCCCTAAACCCTAAACCCTAAACACCAAGCAGCCGCAGAACCGAGGTCACTTGAGCGACAGTTGGATGGCAGGGGCCGGAAGATGGTCAAAGAAAGGACCATGGGGTTTAGGGTTTAGGGTTCTTGGGTTTAGGGTTTCGGGGTTTGGGGTTTGGGGGTTTAGGCTTTAGGGTTTAGGGTTAGGGGTTTATCAAAGGGACCCTTAAGGGGGACCCCTACCCCATAATGGGCTATATAATGGGTATATAATAGCGATATTAAGGGTATATACCTAGGGGTCCTCATTAAGGGTCCCTCCTTTTACCCATTGAATGGGGTTTAGACATAGGAGGCCAAAAGGGGTTTTGGCCTATGGGGGTTTAGTAGGGATTAGGGTTCCCAGAATATAATTCATATTCAGGAATCCCTACCCCAAGAATCTCAAACCCCCCTTTTGGCCTCCCATCATTAGAGTGCAAGGTTCAAGGGTTTCTGTTCCTAAAGGAGCCTCTAATGGAGCTACTTGAGAGGCTCTATTAGGGTTCTACATCGCGGGTTTCGGTTTTAGGATTTACCGGGGAGTGCTGGGCTCAGGTTTGGGGTGTTGGGCTTACAGGTGCAGCCTTTGTTATTCGGATTTTCGGAGTGTGTGGTATAGGGTTTATAACGCTGATGAATGCAAACATGGGCTCGACGTTTAGAGTCATGGAGTTTGGGGTTTGGCACGACAGTTTGGTCCCGGGACTTTCGCTGACGGTTCGACTTCGACTTAGCCTTACTTGGAATCGTATCGTTTTCTTGGGAATGTGTATGACGAACTATTCCGCCCTATCTCGTGGTGTTGTTTGGATGCGGCCGGCTTGCAGGGCAACAAGCTGTATGAAACATGCAGACGGTACCCCCCCATATCAGGGTTGCGTTCGATCCACGAGCACTCTGTTGTGATTGCATCGGTCCGTGTGGCGTTGCCAGGCTGGTAGCAGTTTAGAAGAACAAGATAGTACAAGCATAGTAGGACACCGTTCAAAATACAGCTAAAGGAGCATACGGCTTTTTTAGCACATCCGACTATCGATGCTTTTTGGAACCCCTAATTTTCGGAAACCCCCGCATGACCTTGGCCTTCATCTACGTTCGACCGAAGGACTCGGAGTACAGGGGAGGAGCGGCAGACGGACATGTTCAAAGGCATGTCGGAGGCAGGGTAGTGTGGCTGTTTGGGATTTAGCGGGTCAGAGCTCCAGATTGTGGTGCGCCTTTCTACACATGTCAAAGGAGCCTTCATGCCAAGCTGATGCCCCCGAGCCCACGGAATGAACTGATGCCCAAAAGACCCCGAACGAACGGGCGAAGTGTTCCTGTGTCGGGCCGTTTCGACGAGTACAGCCGAGTAGCCTTCCAGAGTCCGTTTGAACTGTATTCGCTTGATCCCAAGTCGAAGCCCTGAGGTCGCTATCATCTTATCTTAGGGGTACTTAGAAATTATTTTTTAATTTTTGGTTAATATAATCCCGAAGATACAGCTCAAATTGCTAGGGTTCTAAGTTCAGTATAGTTATTCCTTTTCAACTCTACCCGCACCCTTCCGCTCAGACCGTGGCTTGGGTCAGTAACTGCCCGAATCAGCCGACGGCCCCGACAGAATGACGCCGGCGACTTTGACCAAGACTGGCAGCGACGTGCTGCACGGGCCCTAGCCAGGCCCCTTTGGGGACCTTTGATATGGTTCAGGGTTCCGGGTCTTGTGTTTGGGTCCTGGGGGGTTTGTATATCAAACGCATGTCCCGGATAGCTTGGCCAGCAACAAACTACGAAAGCCTACTTTTTTGGTAGGCTCTGAGTATAAAAATCGTTTTGGAGTCTCTGGCCAGTCTCAACCCCAACAGAAGCCTAAAAATTATGTTCCCTTTTTTGGATCCATATTACAATACGGCACCAATTATTTAGGGTACCCAAAAAGGGACCCTAATTTTGACAACCACCCATGTAACACCTGAGCCAGGAGCACCAACCAATTAGCCCAAAGTAGGTTCTATTTATAGACGTTAGGCCCCAAAGTAGGTACCATTTGTATACTTGGAGCTCTGGGGCATTATAGTACTATAGATCCCTTACAGTAGCCCATATAGACCCCCTTAAAGGAGCCTTGGAGCTATAGGGCAAGAACAGATCCCTTGCTGAGCTGAGGTCCCGGCCCTGCCAAGGCATCAACAGGCCTCCTTGGGTAAGCGGGCCTAGGCAACCTAAGTGTAGGGGGCTCCAAGGTTCAGGAGTCGGTTTAGGGCGTTAAGGTAAGGGTTTAGGGGTTAGGGCCGTTTAGCTAAGGTTTAGGTGAAGTCACATTGGGGCCAGCCGCAGCGGCTTGGATTGGAACCCGCGTGCCGGGTTGAGAGGCCGACCTTTCGTTGACTTGTTTATAAGTTTGGGCCTTTCCTAGACCCTTAAATGTAGTCTTTTGTTGGCTACTCTAGCTTGTTACTAGACGATCCTAACAATAAGTCATCCAATAGTTTAAGGCTTATAAGTGTCTATGTATATCAACAGAATACATGATCCCGGTTTTGGTTTGACTCGAGCTTTGTACGCGAAACCCTAAACCCCTAAACCCTAAACCCTTGGGACTGGTTCGGTTCGGGGTTAAGCATGAATGCTCCTCAACCCGGGTCCCTCTGGCTACGGTAGCTTGCTGCGAGCAGCGGCTCCAAGTATCGATGCCTTCCTTGTGTGCCTTCGCAAGCACTGCACCGCCCAAACCCAAATCCAAGAATTCCGAAAGACCTTGCGTTTAGGGTTTAGACACACCATTTGGCTACATGGGGTCTGGGGTTTAATAATTTCGGTGTTGTTTAGTGGTTCAATGGGCTTTGGGAGGGTGTGACTTTGTGCACGGTGTAAGTGTACGTCCATACGCGAACTCTGCGGGGCATGTGTGCATGGAATGATCCGCCAGGCAGCGCAGAGAGACGAATATCATCATGATGCACTAGAGCCGTAAAGTGAGACTTTAACACTATATACGTCCTGACTATGACTATACCGTACACCCCAAATCGTAAAACCCTACCCATAGGCTCCATAGTAGTTCCTTTTGGGGAGTACCTTATCGGGATTCTAGATATGAACCCCAAAAATGGAACTGCTACGGAGCCTCTAGGTACTTAAAGGGTCATGGGACTTAGTAACTAGGGTTATAATTAGGGTAACTTCTAATTACTCATAACCCCAATTAGGGTACTTATAACCTTAGTTACTAAGTCCCTTGATCCTCCAAGTAGGTAGAGCAAAGCATGGCTTTCTGGCCAGGGCTTCCAGCGGATGATGCTGAGCGATCACGGCGGGCACGGTGCAGCAGGCATCGCTGGAGCAGATGCTTCTGTTCGGGGTTAACACCCAGAGACCCCAAAACCCCTTGCTGAAGGAATATACCTTAAGCAATAACAGGAACCCTAATCTTGATTTAAGCTATATTTCTTAATTCAGGGGTTTTGAAGTCTCTGGGCAGTTTGAGGGTTGAGTTTGTAGGGCTTGGAGTGGAGCGCCTTAGTACTTTGGCAGCGGACAGAGAACGTTCTTTGTGTCATTTCGCCTTCGTACAGGGTCGCTCGCAAACCGCTACAGTCTCAAACCTGATGCTGTTGGTTACTTGGTGACCGTGGAAGCCCTCAACATGCGTCAACACCCTATACCCTAAGGTAAAAGCCAGAAAGTTGGAATATGATTATCCTAACCCTTCTATGGTAAATTATAGGGTATCCTACCATGAAACCATATTCCAACTTTCTGGAGTTCCCTATAAACCCTACATGCTAAACCTTAACCCCTAAACCCAAAACCCAAAACCCTGAAACATAGAAGCGACAGCTAACTTCTGACTCCAGGAAGCATCGTAGCGTTTGCTCTTCCTATTTATTGGGGATCTCGCCGAAAACCTGGACCACTTTTACACCAAGATAGAGTTTTCTGGCATCCAGCTAAATTCTCCCGGTAAACCGGTGTAAGCACTAAACCCTACATAAACCGATAAACCCTCCACACTAAACCCTACAGTAAACCCCAGGACGCTAAACCGTGACTAAACCCTGTTGAACCCCTAAACCACATGACAGGGCGTGAGGCGCCCAGCAGCCGACGGCCGATGCAAGCTGCCCTCACCTCAGCTTAGAGGGGAAGGACTATATTGGGTTTAGGGTTTATAAAGTTAAGGGTGTAGGGTTAAGGCCCGCCGGCCCCCACATCCTGAACCCTGATGCTAAAACCCCACACCCTGGTATGCAGCCTCTTCGCAGACCGCAAGGGATGGGAGCAAAGGAGCTCAAAATAAAACAACAGCTGTCACACAGAACACCGCTGATGCTGAATAGCCCCAGCCTTCATCCTCGACCGGGCCTCCGAATGCCCGAGACAGTCCCACACGTTGGGACGCCGGTTCAGAGTTTAGGGCTGTAGGATCTCGGATTTAGGGTTCGGTTTAGCGTTCTAGAGTTTATGGGGCTTGGGGTTCAGGGGTGGCAAGACTGGCACGTCCGGCGCTCGGGAAGTGGTCTGTCCCTGTTGAACCTTTGCAGCTGTAAGGACGGTGGTGAGGGCAGGCCCTACCTACAGGTAGGGTCTCATACCCTGCCCTTTCGGGGGTACCTACCCTTTATACGCAAATCCAGAACAGAAGACCAGGTATCCTCAAAAAGGGATAGGGTCTAGGTACTCCTGGATGTAGTGACACCCCCAGATCTAGATCTTAGGCGACCAAACCCTAATCCCTAAATCAATAAACCATAATAAACCTAAGCCCCAAAACCCTAAACTCTGCTCATCGCCCAGAAGACAGGCTCTGCCCTCCGGCTACGGCTACGAGCGCCCGGCTGAGGTAAACGGGAGGGGGGAGGGGTGGGAAGCTATGAGGGTCGGTTATGGCTTAAACCCTAAAAGGGAACAGGGAGGGGAGAAGCCCTATTTTGCGTAGAGGGTTTTACACAGAACTTGTGTTTGCAGCGGTGTAGGGCTTCTGGGACTGCAAGGGCGTATTTTGCAGGGCTCTGGGGCTAGATACTCGAGCCTTGACTTACGGTTTTGGAGCTTCAGTTGAGGGTTGTGGGATTTGGGTTGCAGGGCTTTGCGGACTAAGGGCCTAGGGTTTTGTCTGGAGATTATTTCAGCTTGCCATGAGATGCTACAAGGTTCAAGGTCTGTGGCATTAGGGTGGGTGGAGGGCTTCATTCATTGATATCCGGGCGTAAACATACCGCGTACCCTGTGAACCGAGTGTAGCAGAAACATAAAGGTTTTGGAATACCTTGCCTTTTTAGGCTATTGGCACCAGCCACCCCCACCCTGGGACAACAAATCTTAAGATCTCAACCCCAATCCTAGGATATCCGCCCTAAGATCCCGACCTAATAGTTGCCATCCTAAAAATATTTACTTCTATCTAGGTGCCATACACAGAAATAGACAAGGGGGATCTGGTAGAACTTGGTTCGCAATCCTTTCCGGCACCGCCTGACGGAAGCACCAACTGCGCCAACCACCAGATAGAGAGGAGTATTTGGGAATAAAATGGTTTCTTGGGATAGATATTCATCTTTTGGGGTGGGTGGTGCAAATAGCCGAAAATAGGCAAGGTATACTCTAACTGAAAATGGGTATGGGTCGTAGGTGATCACAGGTGTCTGAATGGAGCTTGTCGGACAGGCCCGTCTTTCACCCCTTTGTCAACCCCCAGCAAAAATGGCAACTCACCTCTTCAAAGTATTCGTAGCTATGTGAGGATGCTCGGAGAACCGCAGACAGGCAAATTCTAAGGGGCATTCCCGTAAACCCTCCCTAACCCTCAAACCCTCAACCAAAACCTTAAAACCAAAACCCCAAAACCGTAATCCCTAAGCCCGCTAACCCTAAACCAAAACCCTAAAACCCTAAACCCTAAGCCCGCAAACCCTATGCCAAAACCCTAAAACCCTAAACCCTAAACCGTGTTCGGCCTTGCAGGCACTCCCGCCTTCCTCGGGCTATCGCAGCTACGAGCGCCCGGTGGGGCAATGTGGGTGGTTGTCAAAACTGAGGTCCTTTTCTGGGTCCTTGATATGATACAGCAACGAATATATATAGGGTACCAAAAAACAACTATTTGCTTAAGAATCCCCCAAAAAATAAACATAATAATCCCTATATTACCCCCCATAAGGAATATTTTTTTATTTTTGGGGGGCTTCTTAAGCAAATAGTAGAAAAGGGACCATAATTTTGCCAACTACCGATGTGGGTCTTTCTTCTACCCTCGGATCCTGTTTCGGCTCAGGGCTCATTGCGATCATAAGCTGTTCTTGACGTATAGTAGAAGCCAGAAAGTTGGAACATCATTATCCTCATGCCCTTAAGGTAAAGTATAAGGGATCCTAGCACTAATCCTCCTAAAGCCATGTTCCAACTTTCTGGCTTCTACTGTAGGCACCTCAACCCTGCTGCGGAAAACACCGGACACTGGCTTTCAGAGGATAGTAGGTTGCTATAACCATAGAGCATAGAACCCAGTGCCCCATTATTAAGGTAGCTGGAGCCCTACTTGGAGGGTCGGGGGGCTTAGTAAGTAGTTACGTTAATTTAGACACCTATAATTACAATAGCCCCAATTAGGGTACCTTTGGTTAGTAGGGAATGGAAGAATGGTAGTCATCGTTGTTATGATTGTACCCCATTCCCACATTCTCTACTGACCAAAGGTAAGTGTTTAGGGTTCTTTGGCTTTCGGGTTTAGGGGTTTATAGGGTTTAGGGTTTAGGGTTTAGGGTTTAGGGTTTAGGGTTTCGGGTTTAGGGGTTTATAGGGTTTAGGGGTTTAGCCTGGTAGCCGGGTAGGGAACCTTTAGCTTTTTGGGGCATTGTAGTCCTACCATACAGTAATTGAAAAGGATAACCCTTGATTGGGCTGGGGCACGCTACCGCTAGGTCAGGGTTTAGGGCCAAGTTTAGGGTTCAGGGTTGGGGGCATGGATATGTTTGCCATGGAAGAGCTCCCGCGGGGGGGTGCTGGCGAAGCAAAGCTTGAAGAGAGTATTGCATGGCGGCCTTACGAGAAATCCACGCTGCTGAATCAACTTGTCCAAGCAATGTATGGAAGAAGAAACGAACCAGTGAGACCAGCCATGCCCAAAGTGAAGTAGCACACTGCCCTTCATGTTTTGCATGTTTTCTGGGAGAGCAGCTGTATCCACCCCAGCTCTGCCGTGCGAAATGACATTGCTCCTGATCAAGCCATAAGCATTCTGGGGTCAAAGTCAAACAGAGTGCTTTCGTTCTTCAAGGGTGAACACATGTGCCTTTCCGCAAGGTTTAGAAGGCACAGGATCAGGAGAGGCTGGAAACCGTCGGATGCAGCGTGGCAAACACGTACGTCACCACTGATTAAAATTTGCAAGTTGGGATCAACTCGATTGTCCCTGTTGAGGATAGTCTTGATAGCTCTGTTGGAGGCATTAATAAGAATGCAACATCTACTGTGCCTCAACAGTTGGCAAATCCTCCTCTTTTTGCATACATGGCTACAGATGGAGTGGTGGCTGATTCATTCACTGTTCCCCCAATGGGAGAAACTGTGTCACAGACCTCATGATCCTGGCCCTCTGTCCGCACATGCTGCCGAATCTCGGGGTGAAGACACAGCGGACTTTGAGGGTGATAAACCTGTGCAGATTGGAGGTGATGAGTATGTCGGGTCCCCTACGAAACGCCACAAATCCGGGCGATTGTGACCAAAGGGTGTGAGCTTCGTCATCGGTGTCAGATGGTCGTTTTCAGCGTCTACGTGTGGCACTTTCGATATCGACAAGCACTCTGCAGTTCGAAACGGAGCCCTAAACAGCACAAAATATACCCCTATACCAAAACCCTAAACCCTAAACCCAAAAAAGAAACCCTAAACCCTAAACCAATATCCTAAACCCTAAGCCCTAAACGACAAAATAGAAACCCTAAAACCCCGAAACCCTGCAACCCTAAACTTCCCTAAACCGTAAACCCTAGACCCTAACCCTAAACCTAAACCCTAAAATCCTAAACCATAAACCCAAAAAAGAGACCCTAAACCCCGAAACCCTTGCAACCCTAAACCTGGCCGAGCAGGTGGCCCAAAGCAACTACGAGCCCTACGAGACCCGGCCTGTGCCGAGCTCAGAGTTCCCCTGAGACATGAAAAGTTCCCAAGAAGGTTTATAGGGGTTTAAGGTTTTTATACAAACCTCTATGCAAGAAGGTTTAGGGGTTTAGGGGTTGAAGGTTTTTATACAAACCTCTATGCAAGAAGGTTTAGGGGTTTAGGGGTTTAAGGGGAACTCCAGAAAGTTGGAATATGGATTAATGGTAGGATCCCCTGTAATTTACCTTAAAGGGGTTACGATAATGATATTCCAACTTTCTGGCTTCTACTGTAGGGGCTTAGGGGTTTAAGGTTTGGAAGTTAAAGGTAAGGCTTATAGGTTTGGGATTAAGGGTGTTTAGGGTTAAGGGGTAGACGTGAGAAGTTCCCAGACTTCTATAACCCCCGTTATTAAGGTATACTTGTTAACTAAGGGGACCTTGCATGCACTATTCGGGTTCTTATTCTATTTTAACGCACATGCTTGAATTAAGGGGTTTTGGAGTTTGCACATGCCTGAATTAAGGGGTTTTGGAGTTTAGGGTTCAGGCGTGCAGAGTTCAATGGTCCAGGGTTCATTAGGGTTTAGGGTTAAGGGCTCAGTTAAGGGTTGGGGTAAGGAGTCTTGGAAAATGTGGGGTTGACATACAGTTTCCCTTACCGGGAGGTTTGGGGATCTGCATTTAGGGTTTTGCAGATTGCGGGGCCTATGGATGTAGGGCAGGGTAATGCTTGCTTCCACGGGTAGTTTCTGAAAAAAAGATCTTTCCTGGCATGCTGTTCCAACGTGCAGTTGTTTTGTTTAGTAGGCTCAATAACGGTTGGGAAATGTTCGATGTTTTTCCTATTGTGTGCGCTGCTTCATTGTGTGGGTTGGTAATGTAAGCACGAAGCATCACCGTCAACACACAGAGCACATGCTGACCAATTCCGTTCTTGCAAGCAGTTTCTCGCGTCATGGGCTCTTTCCATTGTATCAAAAGGGTACAAGGGTTTCAAAGGGTTTAGGGTGGATCTTGCCGGACTTAGGATGGAGTAGGACCGTACTCCCATCTTCGTCTGACGCCCCTCCGACAATGGCAGCCGTGCATGACGAAGACGATGTGACCCACAACAACGCCGATTTAGGGTGAACCGGTTATAGGACTGCAATCTACCGAGAATGACCATGCAGGTGCCACAGACCGTGCCGCCACGAAGGCTCCAGCCTTGGGTGTTCCAGTTCGGATTGGGATATCGTCAAGGATGCATGGCGCAGGAACGTTTAGAGGCAGTGATTCTGGCAGTGATCAATAAAATCAATAATGCAGTGTTTCATTTCTTAGCTGTTCACACAGTCGTGACACTCAGAAAACTGGTCGTTTCATCGGCTTTGCTTTCCCTGATGCTAGACCTGCTTTGTATTTAGCACACGAAGGAGTGTTGGGTTTTTCGGGCACTTCCTCCAGGTTTCATGTGATCTCGCCCTATCCGGTCTCTCTTTGTCTCCCTCTCGCTCTCTTGCTCTCTCTCTTCTCTGTCTGTCGCTCTTCTGTCTCTCTCTCTCTCTCTCTCCCTCTCTCTCTCTCTCTCTCTCTCTCTCTCTCTCTCTCTCTCTCTCTCTCTCTCTCTCTCTCTCTCTCTCTCTCTCTCTCTCTCTCTCTCTCTCTCTCTCTCTCTCTCTCTCCCTCTGCCTCTCCCTCACTCAGTCTCTCTCTCTCTCTCTCTCTCTCCCCGTCTCTCTCTGGCTGAACACACCGTGGTGGAGCACATAAGCCTCGAAACGCCTAGGGTTAAGCAGAAGCCTTGTCCCGAGAGTATTCGTACCCAAACCCTAAATCTTTCCTGGAACCCCCAAGTATACCTCAAAGTGTCTGATCTTCTTCACCAAGATGAAACTAGAGGCTACAAAGGGTCCTTGAAGGGTTTAGGAAAACCCGACTGTTCTGAGCCCTACACTCCAAATCCCAGTTCCCTCCCCCAAGAAAGCAAGAGCTCTTTGGTCGAGCCTTTTTGTTCAAGAGCTTCAGGCCAAGAGTTCAGGGTTTCGGGATTTAGGGTTTAGGGGTTTAGGGGTTTAGGGTTTAGGGGTTTAGGGGTTTAGGGTTTCGGGATTTAGGGTTTAGGGTTTAGGGGTTTAGGGTTTAGGGTTTAGGGTTTAGGGTTTAGGGTTTAGGGATTTAGGGTTTAGGGTTTAGGGTTTAGGGTTTAGGGTTTAGGGTTTAGGGATTTATGCTGGTGTGTTGAGGGTCTTTGGAGGGTGTGATAGGAACTTCGCAAAGCTTTGTCTGTAGTCTTAGTCCCGCAGAGCATCTAAAGCTCGTCAGTCGGAGGTTCCAACACCCCCGAAACTGCCCACAAAAGGCCTGAAGCCCTAAATCCGCAAAGCTCCAAAGACCTGCAAACCTTAATCTCCGTAAGCCTAAACCCGAAAATCCTAACCCCTAAACACTAAACTCCTTAACCCTAAACTCCGAAACCTTTGAGACCCAAAGCAAACAACACGGAGGCAAACAACTTGGAGGCCCGGTTCGCCCTGCGAGCTCGGCGTACTGTAAGGGATCTATGGGGGTACTATAATGCCCCAGAGCTCCAAGTATACAGATAGTACTTACTTTGTGGTTTAAAGTCCATAAATGGTACCTGCTTGCGGCTATTTGGAGCCTCAGGGCTATAGGTTTCTTGATGAGGCTACGTTAAAATGGGTTCTAAGGGCTCATATGTTACCGCTGTCTGTAGGAAGGCACGCACTCGTTGACATAAGAGATACGGCTGCTGCATGTGATTTGCGAGCATTCCAATAGGTCTGATGGTCGGATTCTTCTTGCGATTTTTGTATTTTAGGTAATTATGCGGCTTACTGGGATCAGCAACGGCTTTAGTAGGGTTTTGGTTTGAGCTCTGGTATGTTGGAACATGACTTTGCAACGGCTCTTGGGCTGTAGAGGATATAATTAGACGTTGCATAGCTAGGTCCCCAGCATCGACATCACTTGTTTGGGATGCTTCACTTCTTGGAGGGTCGGGGGACTTAGCAAGTAGGTCGTAAGTAGACTTATAAGACCCTTAAAAGGGACCCTGATTGGGGTTATGATAGTTATAAGTTATAAGTCTACAAAACAACTACTTACTAAGTCCCTCGACCCTCCAAGTTAAGAATCACCATTGGGGTGTAGCTGGTTCATGTTTGGCTTAAGGGGCTTTAGCATTGATGTTGTTGCTTTCGTTTTCTCGGTTGCGAGGAAGTAGGCACCTAATGACAGTGTGATCCAGCGTTTGCTTTTGACATCGTACATGTACCTTGCTCAGATCTCACGAAATCCCAAACGGCCATCCCTCCGGGGCTTGGGGGACTTTAGGGCTTAGGGCGTAGGGGTTTTACTTGGAAGGTCGCGGGACTTAGTAAGGTAGGTAGTAAGTTGACTTATAATGACTTATGAGCACCTTTAAAATAACTATTTACCAAGTCCCCCGACCATCCAAGTAGGGTTTAGGGACTTTAGAGCTTAGGGCCCGGATTGCCTGTTTAGTTTTGGCGGCTCCTGCTATTTCAGAGACCGGGGGTCTTTCTCATCTCTTGAGGTGGCACCCTAAACACTAAAGTCCTAACAGCCCTACCGTAAAAACTGCCAAAACCTACCTCCCTGTAGGTTCTTATTCTAAACCCACATATCGAATGTATAGGGAACCTTTAACAAGGTAGTTTTGAGAGAGAAAGCATAAACCCTCCAGCCCTGAAGCCCTGAAGCCCAAAGATTGCAGGTGAGCTCTGAGATGATCCCACCCATCTGGGAATTTCCGAAAATCGGGGTTTAGGGTTTAGGGTTTAGGGTCCATCTGTGAATTTCCGAAAATCGGGGTTACCTTATTTTGGGATCCTCAGAATCGGGATCCTAGTTTTCGGGTACTGTATTAGGCTCACTATTTTCAGAAATCGGGATCCTATTTTTTGGGTACTATATTAGGGTCTCCTATTTTCGGAAACCCCCATCTCCCCCGAACTGATTGCAGCGCACCTGAGCAGTGCGGAGTCGACGAGCTTGCGATTAGCTTCGGGTAGAGTTTACAGGACTTAGATGGTGAACGGGGGAACTTTAAACTTTAAACTTTTTGGCCTTATATATTTGCTCTATCTTAATTAGACAGTTTGAACTTTTTGGGGCCCGGTTGCTGAAGAAGAGAGAGGATCTGTTCGGGGGTTATGTGGGTACTTACTGTACAGGGAACTCCAGAAAGTTGGAATATGGTTTCATGGTAGGATACCCTATAATTTACCATAGAAGGGTTAGGATAATCATATTCCAACTTTCTGGCTTTTACCTTATAGGAATTTGGAGATAAGCTTCAGGTTTTGGGAAGTTCGGGCAGTTTGAGGAGCCACGGTTTAGGGTTTAGGGTTTAGGGTTTAGGGTTTAGGGTTTAGGGTTAGGGGCTTTGGGCTCTAGGATGCTCTAGGTGTGTTGAGGGATTTAGGGTTAGGGTTTGGGAGTTAGGGGTTAGGAGTGAACTGTTGGAGCCCAATTACCCACATGAATGGTTGTAAAAACTAGGGTCCCCTTTTGGGTCCATATTGTAATACGGCACCTCATATTTAGGGTACAGCAAAAGGGACCCTAATTTTGACAACTACCCACATAGCAGGTTATTAGGTTACGGATATTATCAGGTGTACGCAGGGTCTTGGGAACAGACATCCTGTGTAGTAATGGGACTTCCATTTGACTCGAAGAGCTGATATACGTCTGTATGTATACATATACATGGCAATATATTAGCTTAGGTCTCAAACTCACCAAAAATCGTACTAAAGGGGCAAAGTAGGATTCATGCTCCAATGGTAGGTTTAGGGTCTCGTAGTTACGTTGTGAAGTAGTTTAAGTCTTACAACCTCTAGCTTGCCTTGGAGCAGTTGTGTTTGGGATGCCTGGTTTCGTGTTACAGTTTCATGTTCGAGCTTCAGCACATAGCTTTCGCGGTTCCAATTATTTACAGGTGTTCGCATCAGTGGTTATGTGTAGTGGGGTTCAGGTTCAGGGGGCTTATGGGGACGGGCTCGACGGCGGAGCCGACCACTCCGGACTCCATCGCAGGTCGGGTGTCGGGCAGTGCACTGGCCATGATTCTTCTGGGTCCAGCCACTTTGGGTAATGGGAGGACCAGTTCTCTTGGTTTAAGAGCATCCGAGAGCCACATGCAAGCCATTCCAAGGATTTCTCACCGCAGGCACCTTGAGGACAACGTGCTGAGCACTGCAGCAAGTGACGATGAGCCTACTATTGCCCCCCCCCCCCCCCACCCCTCCCCGATCTCATGGCACCCGATTGTCGGGCCACACCGTCCGTCATAGCAATAATATATCCTGGAAGATTTAGGGCTTCATGGCCTATTTCTGTCCAGTCTGCTAGCCTGAGCACGAAACGGGACCCAAAACGAGTTTGGCTGTCTGTATCGTGACCAGCCAACGAAAGCCTACAAATTCCCGTCACCCAGACCGGGACAAATTCGACATCCACAGCCGCTCTATTTTGCCCAGGGCCCTAAGACCCGGAGCATTCGTAGCTGAACGTACAACCGCCATCCTGCAACGCGTGAAGGTGGCAACGCTTAAGACTTAACTCCAGTCAAAGCCAAACACGTCTGCCGCATTGTGGATACCGAAGATTGTCCAATGAGGGGTCATCGCTGCCTTACCCGCCAAAACCTCCGAGTTAGCTCGGGCTCCTAAGACTTGACGTTTTCGGTATGTTTTGTTGTTAATATTGTGATGGTTCGATTTCTTTATTAAAAAGATTACTAAGATTTTTGAGATCTACTTGGAGGGTCGGGGGACTTAGTAAGTAGGCAATAAGTAGACTTATACATACCCTAAAAGGGAACCTAATTAGGGTTATGATACTTATAAATATCTCTAAACTAGCTACTTACTAGGTCCCGCGACCCTCCAAGCAGACCCTTAAACCCTAAACCCTAAACCCTAAACCCTAAACAGCGCTCTGACTAACCCTCAGCCTTGGACCCCTCAGCCCGTAATTTGCATGTGGGTGGTTGTCAAAATCATGGTCCCTTTTTGGGTCCCTAATATAATACGGCACCTAATATTTAGGGTGCCCAAACATGGGACCATAATTTTGACAACCACCCATGTGATCATGAGCCCGCCAATGCGAATCGAAGGCTTGGCATCACCTTACCCAGAGACCTTAGACCAAGAGCAGAGGTCAGGTGGCAAAAAGGTCTCCAATGCATGGGGGGAAGTTGGCACTCTGCCCTAAAAACCATCGATTTCTGCGGCTCCAATTTCTCACGATTTCTGTGAATGCAATTTCTCACGATTCTGCGGGTTAGGCGCTGTATTATGGGAGTCTTAACACAGAACCGCTATCCTGTAGGGTCAGGGACAGGTACAGTCAGACCCAACAAGGCTCTGCATACTCAGGAAACTCTCCAGGTCCTCTCATTAAAAGAGGGCAAACAGAGGAACCTCATATGGAATCCCTTAACCAAGCGTACAAGCCGGACGAAAACAGAAGTTTCAAAAAATACCTAGACGGTTTGCTTGGGTTCCTTGTTTATGCTGGCCATCCAAACCCTACATTCCCTGAGGGTCCATGTACCCAAATAGCATATACTTTGGCCCTAAAGTACCTATATAGGGATTACTTTAAGGCCAAAGTATATACTATTTGGGTACATGGACCCTTAGGGATTATGCCTTCGTTCTGTTTGGCGACTTTCTGCTCAAGCTCGGACAGCTTGAACGGGCTTCGCTGTCAACATAACCCAGAGGGTCCAAGTACTCCCTATTGTAGGACTTTAGGGCTGTTTTCGGTACCCAAAACCATAAATAGGAGCTACTTGGACCCTTAGGGTAAAGCTACAAGCTTCTCAAGGATTAGCGAATAAAGATTCGGAATTAGGATTCCTATATCCCTTCGTCGTGGAGGCCACTGTAGACAGGAGGTTTGGGATTCTATAGGAAATAGGTTTCCGAAGTTAGGGTCTTTTAGGGTTTTATGGCATTACGGTTAAGGCTTGAAGCAGGGCGTTGGTTCACCTGACGGCTGTGGATCCTCCATCAGGTCAACTTAGTTAACCGTTTTGTGCTGGGATGGATTAAGACTACCACCAATTCCTAAACCCAGACCTTAAACCCTAAACCCCTAAACCCTCCTAAACCCTTAACCCTTAAACCCTGAACACTTAAACTCCTAAACCAGCCCGATGAGCTTCCGTCTCAACTGACGGTTGAGGGCTGCAACACTCGAACATGACTCAGCACAAACCAATCCTAGAGGCTCCATGTATAAATGATCATTCGTATTATTATGGCTTAATGGTAGTATGTGTGGAGCCTCCGGGAATTATTGAACATCGTCAGCGGGAGCAATGCAGGAAGGAGGTTAGTGAGAGGCAGTAAGGACACCCTATGTACCCTCGGCTGAGGGGCCTAGGATCCAATACCCAACATCTTCAAACCGTAGAGCATAAGACCCTTGCTCCTGGAACGCGTAACCGTAAATGCAAAGCCCCGGAAGCTAAGCACGACGGCATGTAAGCACCGACTGCCGGTGGAACGATGCAAGCAAGCGCTGACCTTGAGGAGGCTGAACCCTAACCCCTACCTTAACCATTATTTCTAAATTATCATATTAAGGAATCCGAAAACTGTAGGTTATTTGGGGTCCAGGGCCCCTAAACCCTTGAACCCTAAACCCTGAACCAAGAGCTCCAGCTATAGTGCGCAAGACTCGCCTCAAGCCCACAAGAGCGTGAGTGGTAGAGCATTGTCTTTGGATTCTTGATGTTTTACGTATGAGCCAGCATCACAAACCCCTACCTATAGGCTCCACAGTAGTTCCTTTTTGGATTAGCCTATGGCTAGAATCCCCGACCCGAAACTGCAAAGCAACAGACCCTAAAACTCGCGAATCTTCAAGCCTACTAGAGCGGGTAGCCTAGACATGAAGGGCACCCGGATCCGGTGATCGTCGTCTTGATCCTCCATCGCGGAATATTTTTGCCAATACTATATTGGGGGGTTCCTTATTATAGCTACAGCAAACTGGGCGGCAAATACCCTATTCTAATTATTAAGGCCCCTATGTTAAACCTTTTCCTGAGGGGAGGGAAGAGGGGAGTGGGGGCGATGACCCCGTTTAAAAACAAGCCTCGTGTAGCGCCCTAAATACTCGACGGGTCAGCTTTTGGAACGCCGGATCAAAGTAGCATCTGGGAGTGTGAGGTTTGCCTCGTCTTGGGGGTTTAGGGTCTAACTTTTTGCACAGAGGGTTTACTTGGTTTACTTCAACACCGATGTTAATATTTTCTCGACGTACAGTCTCCATATCAGGAGATGCAGGTGTAGATGTAGATGTTGACGCAAGTATGTAGATCCTGATACAGATAAAGATACAGACGGCTTGATCGATACACATATATATATATATAGGTAGATAGATAGACAGGTAGATCGATGGGTAGGTGGATGGATACATTGGTAGATATACGGGGAGACGGATGGATAGATGGTTAGATAGTTAAAGAAAACGACAGATAGAACGACAGATGGAGAAAGATGCGCACTCCTATAGAAGGCCTGCTCATTGTGAATCAGTGATTCGCTGCAGTTCCGCGCAGGCGCAGTGTCGCAATGCACTCTACAGACTGCCCTGCGAGCAGCGCTACTTGGCGCAGCGACATCGTAAGTCTTAGGGTTCAGGGTTTGAGCTTTACTGCGCTGAGAAAGCATTCCGGTCGACTGGTCGC